GCTTCTCCCGAGCGGCTCGGGAGGCGCCTCCTGGGACCCCCGCAGCAACGATATGATCCACAGCTGAATGACAGAAGTAAAGGGCCCACGTAAAACCCATGCTCAGCGCTCTGAAGCAGGGGTGCACGATGTCGGTGGGCTGCAGCGGCACCATCTCCTCAAGATCGTCGCCCCAGACCTCAGTGACTCCATAGACGCCGGCCTCGTCCGGATCATCCATCCCGAACCAGCTAGCCATGCGCCAGTTGTCGAACTGGTAGAAGCCGCCGACCACGTCCAAAGAGCTCCCAGAGAAGGGCAGCGAGAAAAGTCCACCCTGTCCCTTGAGAAGCTCAGCCTCCTCCTCGGCACTCAGCTCGGCATCGGCGATGTCAGAAAGCTCCGCCAGGCTGAGGTCCACGTCCGCCAGGGCGGCGATCGTGCCCAGGTCCGTGTGAGGAGGCGTCTTGCACTTCTCGTTGGTCGAGCGGGCGTCTACGATCAGCCTGGTCATCCCAGTCTTCCTCCAGACAAAGAATATAGAGACTCTCGAGAAGATGCGCCGCCTGAAGGTGATGAGCTGCCGGTCGTACAGGGTGGCGAACAACTCGCGGCGGCGCTGCTTTGAGCGCCGCAGGTCCGGGCACCAGTAAGGGGTGACAGAGACGCCTCTCAAACAGTCTGCCTCGAGCTCGCTATCACTCTTCAAAACGTGTTTTCTGAAGTCCGTCGCCAGCCGCAGCGCGTCCGGAGGGAGCACGGACTCTAGAGGAAGAGGAAGAGTGGCACCCTTCGTCACCTTCTGCTTGGCGGGAAGGCACGGTGCCATATGGTGTGGCTCCTGCGTGTGCAGGTCTTTCGCTTTACACACTTCGTTGAGCGCGCTCAGCGGGGCCAGGTCTCGCGGCCGACTGCCGTAGAGCGAGATGCGTTCATCCAAGGATTCCAAGATCGACATCTGAGAAGAAGAGGCCTTGCCCGGGCTGCCTCGGTATAGGCAGTCAACGTCTGAACATACTCGGGTGCGGTACAGCAAATTGAGCGAGCGAACGGACTCCACAAGACGCTGGTCCTGATGCCCAGGTTGCCCACGCATTCCTCGCCACCGGCGTCCGGGGGCCCCAGAGGGGCCCTTCACCAAGCGAACGGGCAGAGGGAGAGGATCACCACGCCGCCGCCGACCATGATCACGTCGACCACGGCGAACAAAACTCGGAGCCCGAAGCAACAGACTGGAGGCTCCTACCTGTGAGAAGCTTGCGCCTGCGAGGCCGACCAGGCACTCGGCCCCGCGCGGGCAGAGCGGGGCGCTAGCCCTGCCCTCCCCCGCCGCCGTCGGCGGCGCCGCCCTTGCTCCCCCTCGACGCGCCTTGGGGTCCCTTGGGGCCGCCGCGTCGCTTTTCCTCAGCCGCCCGCTCTTCACGAAGCAGACGAGCCTGTTTGAGGGTGAAGGCCCGTTGGTGCTGCTTTTCGGCGATCCACTTGGTGAACTTGGGCACGGCAACGCGGCCCTTGTCCTCGGTCGAGCCCGCCAACATGTACCCGAGCCCGCTGTAGTCCGGGTGCCTTGCGTCCTTCTCCACTGCGAGCTCGTGCTGGATGAACCGCCTGACGAGCTGCTCGCCCATGGCCGAGTTTGCCAAGTTGCACTGGTCATGCGTGAGGCCCAAGCGCAGCGCCTCCAGGATGATGCGATGGCCATGCGCGATCCCACTGTTGGGCGAGACCCCCGCTGCCACACACCAGTTCTGATGATAGCTATCGAAAGAGCCGTCGGTGGTTTCGAGGATCCCGTCCAGGTACTCCTTGACCGCGCGGGGGTCAGCGAAGGGAAAGTCGTCGAACTTGGTCTCCTCGAGCTTGCCCACGGCGTCCTTGGCCTGCAAGAACCGCTTGCCGCCCGCCGTGCGGTAGGTGCCGAGAAGCCGGAGATCGCCCCCCCCGCCGACCTTGCTCTTCCAGTCCGCCAGGTCGTTCTGTTTGACTCGCTCCACGTGCACCTCCGACGCCGTGCCATTCGCGTCGAGCTGCACCACCCCCTTGGTCTCCCGAAGCAGCGCGCGCCCAGCGTCATCCAGGATGCCGGGCTCCACCTGCTCGCCGAACCGGGGGTGCGTGGTGTCGGAGACCACCCGCACCTCGGCGTCGTCCACCTCGATGTCCTCCCCCGCGATGTCAGCCAGCACCTTCGCCCTTGCGATGGCCTCGCGGAGCTCCCTGACGGGGATCGGGTCGAACAAGAAACAGTCGTTGCGACACCTATCGGGCACGGGCCTCCCTCGAGCCAAGGGCTCGAACCTGACCGTCGCGGTGTCCAAGATCTGCAGGTCGCCTGTCGGTGTGAGCACAACCCGCCTGCCTGACGAGATCCGAACGAGAAATACTCGGTGGTGCCAAGTAAAGTTTGGATCATCATTGTACCGAACCAGAATCTGCCTTTCTTTGATATCTAAGGCACTCATTGTTTATCTCCGAGACGAAGTGAGGAAGGAGTAGCTGGACCGCTTCTGGCACGAGCCGCTTGGGGCTGCTCGAAGGTAGGCGTAGACTGTACCACGGGCGCTGCTCGACGATGTGAACACCGACCCACAAGTAATCCAATGACGAACCCAGTGAAGCCGATGCTGAAGGTGAGGCTGATGCAAAAGTTCACCGTCACCGACGCGTGCAGCTGGGACTGCACTGACTCCAGCTGACGTGTCCAGATACGCTCGATGTGGCCACAGCCCGCGTCCGACAGCGGCTCGCGCTGGTTCCCCTCGAAATGACAGTGGCAGACCGGCTCGCTGGCCGGCGTGTTGAAGGCCACCAAATCGCGCAGAACAGAGTAAAGGAAGTGCAAGTCCTGTGGGATATGCGTGGTTGCCAGCAGCGTCGGCCCGGCCGGGCCTTCTTGAGCAAAAAGGAGCGACTACGGATGCACAGTCTAGGACGGAGCTCTGAGACGTGTTGTCCGAAGGCCTCCTGTTCTGAGGAAAACGCGTACAAACTCTTTCTCATATATATATATATATATATATATATGTAAATCCGCTAGCCCCCCTGTGGAGCCACCAGGCTGTAGGACGAGGTTGTTGCTCCCTGCGCCAGCTGCAGTCTTCAAGCGTCCAAAGTTGCAGTACCGCTTTCTGCTTCTTACTGAAAACTGTTGAAATCTGCGCGACGGGGTAGAGCCCCAAGCAAACAATTCACCACGCCTGGATCGCGTTTCCCGAATTTCTGGGGGGGCGTGGGACACGTACACATACATGAGATTCGCGTTCCCGAAGCCCCAAACCCTAGGACAATACACAGTACTCGCGCCCCCCAGGCCACTAACCATTGCAAAGTACGCAATGCTTGCGTCCCGGGGGGAACAAACCTTCGTAGATTATGCAAAATTGCGTCCCCGAGATTACTGTAAACCTTAGCAACTTACGCCATATTCGCATTGCCGAAGCCAAAAATGCTCCAAGGCGCCCGAAGATGGTTTCAAGACGGTCCAAGAGGGTCCCAAGAGGCCCACGAGCATTCCAAGAGGCCTCCCGAAAGAGCCCCAAGAGGCCAAACTCGCTGAGTTTACAAAGGTTGATTTGGCCTTCTCGCACATTCGGCTTTCCGTTGCTCCAAGGCGGCTCAAGAAGCTCCCAAGATCGCCGCAGGACAGCCCAAGAGGCCTCCAAGAGGGCCCCAAAACGGCCCAAGAGGGCTCAATATTGCCCAAGAAGCGCTCAAGACGGCCCAAGAGGGCCCCAAGACGGCCCCAAGAGGGGCCCAAGCATGTGACCACGAACCGAACATTTTATAGTTGTGCCCAGAGAAGCCCCCAGGAGGCCCCAAGAGGCCGCCAAGAGGCCCTAACAGGTCCCAAGAGGCGCCCAAAACGCGCCCAAGAGGCCCTCAATGAGGCCTCCAAGAGGCGCCCAAACCGCCACCAAGAGGCCCCCGGGAGGCTCCCCACGACACCCCAACACATAACTATACAAGAGGCCCCAGACCCACAATCCGGCCAGTGCGGGATGGGCCGAAGGCCACTCGGATAACGCCAACGTCTCAAATTGCGCTGATGATTCCTATCCGCAACCACATGATGTTCCCAGGTGCGACAAGGCAGCGCCGAGACGCACCGACGCGACTCTGATGTGTCCCGGTCTGATAGAGAGGGGGCCGGCGGCAGGGGGAGAATCCCTTACGGTTGTACATGTATATAGTATATATATATATATATATACAAAGATGAAGATATGTATAAGGTGTGTGAGAGAGAGAGAGAGAACGGGGAAGAGAGGAAACAGAGAGAGAGAGAGAAAGAAAAACAACATAACGCTACATCTATGAATATATTGATGGCGAGAGAGAGAGAGAGGGAGAGAGAGGGAAAGGGGGACGAGAGGGGGAGAGAGGGGGGGAAATGATGCAAGGAGTGATGGCGGGTGGATGGGAATCAACCGAGGAGGCCGCAGAGGGGCGGAGTACACTGAGACAGCAGGAGGATTTGACCCAGGACGGAGGGCAGGTGTCGATCCAGCGCGCACTTTAGCAGCCTGGCGCGCCAAGAATGGAGGCTGCCGTGGGGGCTCGAGAAATGCCGAACGGCGGCCATGCTACAAACAAAGTTTTGGAAATCTTGAAGGGGGGGAGGACGAGGGGAGGAGGCAGATGAGGAGAAGGGGGAGGACCATAATGACCCCAGGATGCACCAGCCATGCTGCAGCACACCCTCTTGTCCCAAGTACCATCCTCATAAGACCCTTCAAGCATTCATTCGTCGGACGAAGATCAACTGAGATCACAACGGCTTTCCCACCCGTCCGAAATCCGCTCAACATTGGTCCCCAAACCCGTCAGGGTCCATTTTGACTCTCTTCTCGAGGTGAATCCAGCCGTGGCGACGGGAAGCCTCCAGGAGGCCTAAAAAAGGGACGAAGCATGACAGGGAGGGCCGCCGTTGTCTCGACTAGCCCTCCTGCGAAAATTCCTCTCCACTGCAGCAGCCGCCGACGCCCCCGCAAACGACGGGAGGAGGAGGAGGAGGAGGAGGAGGAGGAGGAGGAGGAGGAGGAGGGACGCCTCAGCATCGCAAGACGAAGGAACGGGCGCAGAGGAGGGGCAGGCCCTCGCAGGAGGGAAATCGGCTGCACGCAAGAATGGCCCCTGAGCAAAAGTGACCCCTGGTGCGCGATTTGCCGATCGTTGGGAGCGACAATAGCGGCCTGCGTGCCTGGGTCCGGCCCACGCGCGCCCCCCGAAAGCCGCGCACCAAAGGTCGCTCCGGCGAAGGGTTCCTCTCACATGTGGCCTGGCATTCGGCCACACGCAGGGGTGACCCTAGGCAAGAGCGATCTTTCTCGTGCGCGGATGAGAGGGGGCACAAGTTGACTTCCAAGCGCGCAAGCAGCCATTTTCGCATCGCGCTCAGCGATCGGGGGAACCCCGGTGAGACCGCACCGAAAGTCACTCCGTCGAAAGGTTACTCGCACGTCTAGTCGATGCAAATCTGCGCGGCCTACGCGGAGCTGCCGGCCTGGGCCCTCTCGGCATCCTCGTGCATCCTCAGGGCCATGACGAAGGGCACGAAGAGCACCAGGCCAATGGCCATGTTCACGTAATAGCCGAACTCTAGGTGGCCGTCGTTCAGGTTGTTCGGGATGTACGAGCTCAGGGCCTTGACCAAGAGGGCAAACAGCGCCGAGGACACTGCCTGAACGAGGGCGGGGAGTGGGCGTGGGAGAAGGAGAGAGAGAGGAACAGTATTGAGTTGGGGAGGGGGGTGATGCGGGCAACGACACCAAGAACACTGCCTGGATGAAGAAGGACGCCGCCATCGCGAACGTGCGCATCGAGGGGGGGCTCTGCGAGTAGGCGAAATGCAGCAGAGTGGGCTGCGTGTAGATCTCCGCCACGCCCATTAGGAAGTAGGGCACCATCATCCACGCGCCCTGGATGTCGGACATGTTAACGCCTGGCGGGGCGCAGTTCGATTGGACGGGCAGCACCGCGGCGGCCTTCCTCATCATCTCCAGCTTGGCTGCGACCAGCACGGAGACCCCCGCGACGGCCATGCCGATGCCGAACTTGATGTCGTGCCCGATTTTGCCCATCTTTTTCTCCATGAACGGGTTTATGTAATTCAAAATTACCGGCGTCATCAACACGATCGCAAAGCAGTCCGCGATGTTGAAGAAGGAGCCAGACAGCTGCATCGACCCGAGCCGCACGTCCATCTGGCAGGCCTAGAAAAGGTAAGCGCACAACTCAACTCCAGGGATATTCCCATCTCGACACGACTGTCGCTCCAGTCCACCCGCCCTCTTCTGCTCCTTCGTGGCGGCCGAGGGAGCATGGGGAGGAGGAGGGGGAGGAGAGAGGACGGAGGCGGAGGAGGAGGAGAGAGGGGAAGGAGGGCTGAAGAGGGGAATGGACGGGGGAACAGTAGGAGGACGATGGGGCAGGAAGAGAAGGAGAAGAATAGGATGATATTCGCTACCTGTGGAGGGGCGGTCCGGGTGGGGGGAGAGAACGGAGGATGAGAGGAGGCGGTGGAGGAGGACGAGGAGGAGGAGGAGGAGGAGGAGAAAAAGGAGGAGGAGGAGGAGGAGGAGGAGGAGGAGGACATTCAGGAGGATGATGAGGAGGAGGAGGAGCAGTAGGAGGAGGAGGCGGAACAGTAGGAGGAGGACATCGATGAAGAAGAGGACGACGAGGAGCTGGAAAGAAGAGAGGGCAGGGGGACTTCGTGGGTGTAGCGAGTTTGCTATCTGAACGCCTGCTGCTGATACCAGAACTGCATGGAATTGTACAGGGCCCCAAACGACAAGCTGCCCATGCACAGCGTCGGCAACAGCTTTATGAACTTCTGGGTGTCCTGTTCCTCCACCTGGGAAGACGCCGACTATACGACATAACATGTTTGAACTGTTTGTTGCAATTTGCTGGAATCCGCCACCGTGCCGCGAAGAACTGGGTGGGGTATCCTGATGTCCCTTCGAGCTCTGTTCGTAAGACTGTGAACAACATTTCGAGGCGCGACCCGTGATTCACACAAGTCTGGGGCGCTCAAGGGGCTTCCCGCGTGACTCTTCCCGAATCCGTGGGGGCGTGGTTGCGGGTCTCAGCCTCCAATGTGCTGTAATGTTGCCCCAAGCGGACATCCTGGCCTCTTTAGCCGTTTTCGAAGTATTGCTGGATGGGCTGGAGGCCTATAGACGGCCCCAGGATGGCCTCCAAGAGGACCACTACCGTCTCTAAGACAACTAAGATGGCCTCAAGAGGGCCCAAGATGGCCCCAAGATGTCTCCGAAACGGGAGGGGATGGCCCACAGATGGCCCAAGATGGCTCAAGGATGCCATAGAGGCCTCCAAGACGATCCGAGAAGCCTCCAAGAGGACCTCTGGGAAGGCCAGAAGAAGCCAGCATCATTTTGTGTCATTGAAAATTTGAGCTGGCCAGTAGCTTGGCCGACCTCCGGCCGCAGCGGTCGGCCGCGTAGGGGCTTCCAAAACGCAGGGGGCGGCAGTGATTTGCCATATGCCCCTTCGATCCGCCGCCCCCTGTGGATGGCCACAAGGATGCACGGCGTGCCAGATTTTAGGCAGTGCTTGGTTCTTTTAAGAGTTCCCGAGGGGGCTTCGGCCCAACCCGCTGGCCACCCGGAAGGACCCGCAATGATGCGCAAGGAGGGGGGAAGCCTGGGAAACTCGCCTCCGCGACGGCCAAGACGGTTCCCAAATGCCTCCAAGAACGGCTAAGACTGTCCCAAGAGAGCCCAAGACGGTCCCAAGACGCCTCCAAGACGGCCTAGATGGCCCCTAGACGGCCCAAGATACCGTCCAGACGGGCCAAGAGGCCTCCAAGACACCCCACGAGGGCTCCAAGAGGACCTTCTGGCGGCCAGACTCATTGATCGTCCCTAGGTTTTCAATTATTGTAGTATTCTCAGTATCGAGTTGGAGCCCGCCAGCTACCTATGCCGGGGCAGGACGTGGACGATGTCGTCCAGCATGTCGTTGGGGCGATGAATTATACGGGTACTCGCTTGCATAATTTGGCGAGCCATGGTACGTCGTTGTTCGAGATCGGAGGAAATGGTATGCGCAGGCCGAGGGCTACGCGCAAGACATCTGAGTACAATTCTGAATGCCAATTTTTCAGCGCCCACACGAACTTATAGTGTGTTCAGCCCACGCCCGCTCGCGGACCGATTCGATTCGACCAGGCCTTGCATGCTTGATGGTATTAAATATGTTTCGATACCTCACTTGTTTGGTCTTGGGAACGTCCACGGCGGCCCAAAATGAACCAAATACCAGACCAAGACGGCTCCCAAATGGGTCCCACGGGGCCCCAAGACGGCGCAAGGCGGCCCAAGAGGGTGTCCACTTGTCGCAGGCTCTTGGATGCGCCGTCCTGTGATCTACCCAGGGGTGCCTGGTGTGCGGTATCACGTTTCTGTTGGCAGCCCCTGCGAGGGCGCGGGTCGGTCGAGCGGCTCAGGGGCGCTGAGCGGCGACTTCAGCCCGGCAAAAGGCAGGAAATAAAAGGGCAGGGCGGCCGCGGAGGGGAGGAGCGAGCGGGGGGGCAAACGCGTGCGGCATTCTACGCCGCTGTTTGGCCACCTCGGCAGATTTCCACTAGCCTTGCGGCCTATCGAAGCGCTCGCGGCTGGACCTTGTCCAGATGTGGGCTCCAGAGACTTTTCCGCCCAAGATGGCTCCAAGAGGATGCCCTGGACGCCAACAAGATGGTCCAAGATGGCAGAATTTGCCTCAAATCATTGATGCGCGTGGGCGTATGACAAGGTTTCCGACAGCCCCAGGCAGCACAAGATGCTGCAACGACTTTCCGAAAGGGCCGAGAGATGGCACCCGAAGGCGCCAGACGGCCCAAGAGCGCCCTTACACATCACAAGAGCCCTCTGACCCGAGAGCGCCACAGGAGGCGCAAACTGATGCCCAATATGGGGCACAAGACAGCCAGGGAGCTGCTGCGAGTAGTTTCGAAGTTTGAAAAGGGACTGGAATGAGGGGGCCAATCGGTCTTACACCATCCATGGGTGTGTGCTTGCGGTGGGCTTCCGCGGTGAGGACTATTGGTGTTGTCTTGTCGTCGTCCTCACTCGCGCCCTACCCGCAACCGACCAACGACCCACCTGCGATCCGCCCGCGATCCACTCACGACCCACCCGTGACCACTCGACGCAGAATCGGCGCCTCTGGTGGGCTCGTTGTGTGTAAGGTGTTGAAGAAATCGGTGCCTAGGGCGGGCTTCCTCAAACTTGTTGTCCAGCCTCGCAAGCTGCCGACGACCCCTCCGCGCCCCCACTCTGATTCGCAATTGCGGGGGCATTTGTTTGTTACATACTTGGTTATGTATGGTAAGATACAACTTCGACGGATGTTTGGTAGGTGCGCATGTTGATCAGTGCGTCATGTGTGCACATCTGCTGTAGGAGTGGTGCAGGCATGGTGCTAAAACGTGCTGATGAGTTCATGCACTTACGCTCGGTTCGCGGTGATATTGGTTACTACTGTGCGCTGCGGGTGTATGCGGTTTGCGCACACTGGATGTCATTGCTGTGATGTAATTTCCGGATGTGTGCGGTGGCTGCGAGCACATCATGTACGAAGATCGTGTGCACTCGTGATTTGAAATATGTAGGTACGAGCTTGCTAGGGGCACTATTACGTGTGACTGCCGTCCGTAGGCCCGCAGGCGATGCCCGTAGGGGTGCATGCAATTCGCGTGCGTTCTTGGTATGTGTCTACGTGCACAAGGGGTGTGTGAGGTCATGCTGTCACTAGATGGTGTCTCTGTGTGGTGTCGATGTGCGATCTGGGTTGTTGCTTTTTGGGGCGGTGTATTACTGATTGCGGTTGGTGTGGCTTGGTTTGTGCTGTTCACAGTGACCCACGATGACTGTTGTTGTATGGTGTTGAGGTTGCGCTGCTGATGTGTTAGTGATGTTACTGATGTATGTGGTTGATAAATGTTGTCGGTATGCCCTCCTGCTGTGCACTACATTGCCCGTTCTTCGCGCATGGCCCAGGAATGTGGTATTGATGCGTGTCAGTGCCTCGCGCCCTTGACGCAGTGATGCTGTTGGTGTTTGGTAGTGCTGTCTAGCACTGACGCAGGCCCACCTTGTAATTGTGTACTCACGGTGCTGACGTATGGTATTGATGCGTTCGTTACTTTTCTATGAAGTGTTGGTGAGTATGATTGGAGTACGTTTTAGATGTCTGATTATGAGAAAAAAGGCATGTTAGTGGCGCTTGTATTCGGCATCTTCTTTGTATGTGTTATCTGTATCTGAATACTGATTAATATTGATGCCCGCCGTGGACGTATGTCACTGGCGTGCCTTGTTGCTGTGTATCATCGATGTATGCTCTTATGACCCACTGAACGCATGTTGCTCTTGATGTATGTTCTGGACTCCTGTTCTTGAAGTCTGCTCTAGATGTCTGGACGGCAGGAGACCTCCCTGGTGGGGCTCGGCGAGACAAGATATTCAGGGATATTCGGGGTTTATTTGTGCCTGGCGGCCGCAGTATGCAAGGCTGACGAGGCAAGATGCTCAAAAACATTCGGGGATAACTTGGGCCTGACGGCCGCAGTATGCCAAACCGGGAATATTTTGGCCTGGTGGCAGCGGTATGCAGGGCTGGCGGGCGGGTTGACATCGACCATCGGCCACCCTGCTCCTGTGTTCCCCGAATCGTTGTGGAATAACTCGGAGTGGCATGATTATGATATGATATGGGGCTGCTGATCGCTCGTATCATCTGTGCTGCTCTGAGCCCTGTCGAGGAAACGCCACACACCTTCTACCAGCAATCCTGACATGTCTGGCCGGAATGGGCGGCACTGAACTCGCCGCAGGCGTCTTCGATGCACGTTCAACGTCGGCAGCGCTCGGCAGGGCGAAGGCGGGGCACACGAGGGCTCGGAGGCCCTCTTCGGGGCCACAGACCTGCCCGACATCGGAGCAACTCCCCCACAGCGCCGACCGCGGCATCCCCAGTGCGACGGAAATCGAAAGATGCTTCGGCCCAGCGCCTTGGCTCACACGTCCACAGAGCCCAGGGGCAATGCTCCCGCTCTCCTGGCCCCTGCCGAGAGGGCACGTGCCCCGACCCGTGGGTCCGGGATGGGCCTCGCCAGATTCAGTGCCGTAGATTGACTAACGCCCAGCGGCTACCGTGGGAGCGCCGTCCACACTGGTCGTCAGCCAGCTCGAGTTCACGCACAGGACGGTCACCGCAAGGACTCCGACGCCGGCGCAGCAGAACGCCGCCATCATCATGGGCATGCCCATGCTCGGAATGAGGGACTCCATCGCGGAGAGCACGATGCTGCTGCAGAGCAGCAGCACGCCGAAGCACACCATCGCGGCCCTGTGTGAGCCGCTGGCGGCGCACCCCACGAGGCACTCCGCCGTGGATGCCAACGCGGAACGCTTCAGGAGCGGGTGCACACGGTACCCGCGCCTGCCAGCCCAGCAGATGCCCACCGCGCCCATCATGCAGGCAGCCATCAGCGCGTACGCCGTGAAGTACCCGTAGCTCTTCGGGACGCCGAGGCCCCCGCTTGCCGCGAAGGTGGTGAAGAAGCCGTAGGCGAGGCCCGCGCCCACGTTGATGGAACAGTAGAAGACGGAGAAGAACTTCTCCTGGGCACGCCCGAAACGAGCAGATGGGTAGAATGCCCAACAGCAAACCCTGTCCCAAACCGACGGCGGCCGCTGATGGAGCAGGCGACGTGTTCTTGTTTGTCTCAAGTGGACCGCGCCCGCGGCGACATCGACAGCGAGTGTTTCTCGAAATGTGCAGGAACTGCTGTCGATTCGGGTGTTCGTTAACACAGGGGGGGCCCGCGGGGCAGTTTAGGGCCCATTCAAGGCCACCGTCCTGCAATGCTCGACCCCCCCCCCCCGTTTGCACCCCCCCCGTTGCTGTCCGCCCGATCGCTCTTCGGCCTCACTCTTTCCCTACCCGATCGGTTTTCTGCCCCACTCTTTCCCTACCCGCTTCGGTCGTGCCGATCTCCTGCCCGGCGGCCGCGCCCGGGTGGCTCGGGTCGTACTGGTCGGCGCCGAAGTTCGAGATGTTCGCTTTGATACCCGCGGTGGCGATCGGCATGAATCCGAGCATGCCCAGGAAGTATAGGCCCTCTCGCCAGGGTTCTCTCGCGACGTCGGGGCTCCCAGAAGGCTCTCGATCCTCGCCATCGCTCGGACGTTCATTCCCCGTGTATTTCCCGATATTGTCCGTTCACCTTTTCACATGATAGTTCAAGATGCTCCTCGATGGCCCCCGAAGAACATAATGCACACGTCCGAGCGACACCAAGGATCCCCAGCCCCCGGGGGCGGATCGTTCCTCGTCGCAGAGATTAACAGAAGGGAGAGAGCTGCTGATGGAGACGCCAGACGAAGCCATGACCAGAACAACATTGGACCAGGACAAATCGGGGACGTCTGAGATCTGGTGGTTCTGGAGGATGTCTCGCGCGACGTGGCCGTCCCAAACCGCCCTGGGATGTGCCGAAACCGTTCCGGAACAATCTGGAAGGATTTGTCCTGCTCCTGGACCCGCCCGAAGGGTCCTGGACCCCAGGGCTACACGTCGGTCGCAAGAAGTGGGGTAATACATTATTCACTGCGTGGAGCTCCCCATATGTGCATCTATTCGCATGGACCTGTCGGCCGTGAATGTCTAGGCGCAAGAACTTTCAAATATAAACGGGCTTCAGTTGTGCCGGTCTGGTCACGAATCTAATTGAGAATGAATTGGAGTATGAATGAGCCTCAGTAGTACGAGCGCGTCTCTGCGCATGAGCCTGGGTCCTCCTGGGGCCTCCTGGGGCCTCCTGAAACCTACTGGGGCTTCCTGGGGCCTCCAGGAACCTGTTGGGGCCTCCTGGGGCCTCCTGGGACCTCCTAGGAAGGATTCGTGCCCCAGGAGAGGCCCAATCTATAGCAACAGACGTACATAAAACATTGCGGATTGGAGCCACAGGAGAAGGGGGCAATCTATAGGAACACACGTACAACACCAAGGACTCGTGCCCCAGGAGAGGCCCTATAGGAACAGGAGTACACAGGAGAAGGACAATCTATAGAAACATACGTATAACATCAAGGATTCGTGCTCCAGGTGAGGACCAATCTATAGGAGCATACGTAAAACACATGGGATTGGAGCCCCTACTGTTGCCTTCTGAGGCCTCCTGCTCCTGGGGTCTCTGGGGGCCTCCTGTTGCCTTCCGAGGCCTCCTGGCGCTTCCTCTGGCCTCCCGGGGCCTCCTGTGGCTTCCTGAGGCCTCCCGGAGCTTCCTGGGGCCTCCTAGAGCCTCTTGGGACATCCTGTGGCCTCTTGAGTCTTTCTTTGGCCTCCTGATGCCTCCTGGGACCTCATGTGGTCTCCTGGGGCCTCCGGAGGAGAATCTGTGCCCACGAGTCTGGCCACCGATCGAGACATCCTCAAAATCTGGCCCACCTGGGGGGTGAAAATGAGCGCCTCGCTCGAGACATCCTCCTAATCTGCTCCGAAAGCGAAGGATGTTGGGACAGGAAACAAGCAAACCGCTTGAGACATCCCCACAAAACGACCGCGAACGGGACCGTGAGATAACCCTTGGCGGCTCCCCTTAGGGGGATGAGAATGAGTGCCTCGCTCGAGACGTCCTCCAAATCTGCTCCGAAAGCGAAGGATGTTGGGACTGAAAACAAGCAAACAATTGAGACATCCCCACAAATCGGCCGCGAACGGGACCGTGAGATAACCCCTCGGCGGCTCCCCTTAGGGACGTGAAAATGAGCGCCTCGCTCGAGACATCCTCCCAAACTGCTCCGAAAACGAATGATGTTGGGACAGACAACAAGCAAACCGCTTGAGACATCCCCGCAAAACGGCCGCAAACGGGACCGTGAGATAACTCCGTGGCGGCTCCCCTTAGGGGGGTGGAAAAGAGCGCCTCGCTTGAGACATCCTCCAAATCTGCTCCGAAAGCGAAAGATGTTGGGACAGACAACAAGCAAACCGCTTGAGACGTCCCTTAAAAACGGCCGCGAACGGGACCGTGAGATACCCCCTCGGCGGCTCCCCTTAGGGGGGTGAGAATGAGCGCCTCGCTCGAGACATCCTCCAAATCTGTTTCGAAAACTACGGATGTTGGGACAGAAAGCAGGCAAACCGCTTGAGACATCCCCACAAAACGGCCGCGAAAGGGACCGTGAGATAACCCCTGGCGGCTCCCCCCAGGGGGAGCTGAAACCAGCGCCCTGCTTGAGACATCCTCACAATCTGCTCTGGTAACCAAGGATATTGGGACAGAAAACAAGCAAACCGCTTGAGGCATCCCCACAAAACGGCGGCGAACTGGGCGTGCGTGAGTCTCATCATGAGTCAGTCTGAGTAGGCGTAGGTCTGAGTATGAGTAGGTTTGAGTCTGAGTAGGAGTAAGTCTGAGTGAAGCATTTTGTGTGTGAGTAAATTTGGGTATGAGTAAATCTGACTGTGAGTCAGTCTGTGTATGAGTAAGTCTGGGTATGAGGAGGAGAGTGGAGGAGAAGGAGAAGAAGGCATGAGGAGTAGGAGGCGTCCAAGTAATAACAACAACATCATCTTAGGATATGGGGAATAGCAAAAAAACCCATCTTAGGATATGGGGACAAGCATGGAGCAGGAATGCGGATCAACGAGATTGAGTTCAGGTCCTCCGAAGGAGTGACACAAATACGCAAACGCATAGTGATTCTTGAAGTATGGAAGCGCATGGGATATATTGGGATCGGGAAATCCAGTAAAACCTACTTTCAATGACCAGTGTACTACTTCGGCGACGTCACTGCTGCGTGTATTTCCTTCACCCGCACTTGGCCCCGTCTGCGCCCGTGGGTGCCCTGGCGCCGAGGCCCGGCAGCTGCCATGGTTCCCGCTGACGGGGCTGGCCGCGCCGGCACACTCTGGTGCAGACTCGCCCGCCCCTGCGTGGCCTTTTCTTCTCCTCCCATCCCCCCCCCCCCGGCGGCCGCCAGCCTGCCCTCTTCCCGTTCTTGCATGCTGGCAAAGTCGCTCTTCGGTGCCCCCGCCTGGCTCTATCGCTGGTGTAGCCAACTCTGCCCCGCCGCCGACGAAAAAAAACATCCTCGTCCTGGGCCCGCCCGGATGGTCCTGGACCCCAGGGCTACACGTCGGTCGCAAGAAGTGGGGTAATAGAAAACATGGAGTAGGAATGCGGATCAACTAGATTGAGTTCAGGTCCTCCGGATCCGAAGGAGTGACAAAAAGACGTGACATCATATTAATTATTGAAGTAAGGACGCGCGTGGAATAGACTGGGATCGGGGAGTCCAATAAGACCGACTGTCCATGACAAGCGTGTATCCTCGTCCTGTCCTCAACTCGAAGGGGGCCCTGGTGGCCTGAGTCAGGAGGATGTAGCACAGAAGTGCTGAACATGGGGCGGCCTGGGCCAGATTCTGCGCTGTGCGTGGCGGCGGTACCCGCGACCCCAGCCGGCACGACGCCACTTTCCTCCGCCGCTTCCTCCGCCATGCCCCGTCACCCCTGCCTTCTCAAGCGCAGGAAACAACACCATCACGGTGCCCGTAGACCCGCCATGAACCCCGACAGCGCGTGGCCCCCAACAGCCCTCGGCCACAGTTTTGGCACAGGTGCCTGCACCGATTAGGCGCCCCTAGACGGGCCAGGATCTGTCCACCCCAACAGCGCTTGGTTCTCCACGGCCGCAGCCAGGGCCACCCGCCGGCAGCTGCACCGCCGGCGCCGGGCCGCTGGCCCCGTCGCCCAGCCTGCCGGGGTCTCCCTGCAGGCTGGGCGCTCCGAGGCCCTGTTCCCTTCCTGCTTTTCCCGGTCTCTTTCCCTCCCTCCCTCCGCGCGCCGCCATGGCGCTCGTGGGGCCGCCGCAGCTCGCAACCTCCCTACCTGGGGCACCTGGGCTTGGTCTTGCCACCTGTCCCCCTCCGCGGGCCCAGCATTTTGCTGGCTGCACTCCATACCTAGACTGCACGTGTATTTCCCGTACCTTGTCACATGCCACCCACTTGGGTGGCCTGCAGTCCTCTTCCCTCGACTTAGCACCCCGTGTACTACTTCGGCGACGTCACTGCTGCGTGTATTTCCTTTACCCGCACTTGGCCCCGTCTGCGCCCGTGGGTGCCCTGGCGCCGAGGCCCGGCAGCTGCCATGGTTCCCGCTGACGGGGCTGGCCGCGCCGGCACACTCTGGTGCAGACTCGCCCGCCCCTGCGTGGCCTTTTCTTTTCCTCCCATCCCCCCCCCCCAGCGGCCGCCAGCCTGCCCTCTTCCCGTTCTTGCATGCTGGCAAAGTCGCTCTTCGGTGCCCCCGCCTGGCTCTGTCGCTGGTGTAGCCAACTCTGCCCCGCCGCCGACGAAAATGCATCCTCGTCCTGGGCCCGCCCGGAGGGTGCTGGACCCCAGGGCTACTCTGGAGGGCCAGCTTTCCAGCTCGAGTCGGCCTCCGACGGCCGATCGGGGCCACACGCCAAGGGGGGACCGCCCCGAGGGGTCGAAGGGCGGAACAAAGAAACCCAGGACCTCGAGGACGAGCCCCCGTGAGGCCCAGGAGCTCAGCAGAGGAAGAAGCTGCACAAGCATCCACTTTCGAAGGTCCGCGCCAGGGGTGGCGCGGGAGGCGCCACGAGGGGTCCCAGCGCTGATCCGAAAAATCCGCACGGAGCTCCGAAAGTTGACACGTCGGTCGGAAGAAGTAGGCAGAAGCATGAAGTAGGAAGGCGGATCAAGTAGGTTGAGTCCAGGCCCTCCCAAAGACTATCAAAGCGCATCAGAGGCACATCGATTCTTGATGTAGGAAGGCGCTTGAACTATAGATTGGGATCAGGGAGTCCTGAAATACCTACTTCCAACGACTGGCGGATACACGGAAACTTTCGGAGGTCCGCGGCGCGGGAGGCGCCGCAAGGGGGCGCAGCGCCGATCCGAGAAATTCGCACGGAGCCCGAAAATCCATGTTTGTTTATACCGTGTGCTCTTCTTCGACTCCGGGGGAAACTGGCCGCAATGATCTGTTCTGTCGTGCCCTGCGTCGGCCTGGCTCTCGAGGCCGGGCCAGGCCGCCGCCGCAGCCAGCCCGGCGCCTGTCGCGTAGAGCAGCCCAGACACCAGGATGGTGTGGTAACGCCCGAAGACCACGTCCGCCGCCCAGCTGGCCACGACGGCCAGCACGGTGCAGAGGGTCCACATGGTGGCGTTGAGGGCGCTGGCGGCCGAGAGGGGGAAGCCTGCCAGGCTACTGCTGCGCCTCCTCCTGCTTCCTCCTCCTCCTGCCTCCTCCTCCTCCTCCTCCTCCTCTCCCCTCCTCCTCCTCCTCCTCCTCTCCTCCTCCTCCTCCTCCTCCTCCTCCTCCTCCTCCCTCCTCCTCTCCTTCCTCTCTCCTTATCAATCCCTTCTTTCCTCTCCTCCTGCTCCTCCTCCCCCTCCCTCCTCCCTCCCCTCCTCCTCCATCCCTCGCGTACTCGCTCTCTCCCTCCTCTGGCTCCTACTCCTGCTACTCCTCCTCCTCCTCCTCCTCCCCCCTCCTTCTCTTCCCCCTCATGTTCCTGCTCTTCTTCCTCCTCCTCATCTTCCTATTAGTATTATTATTCCTTCTCCCCCTCCTCCTCTTCTCCTCTTCTCCCTCCTCCTCCTCCTCCTCCTCATCCTCATCCTCATCCTCATCCTCCTCCTCCTCCTCCTCCTCCTCATCCTCATCATCATCTCATCATCATCATCATCATCATCATCATCATCATCATCATCATCATCATCATCATCATCATCATCATCATCATCATCACCATCACCATCACCATCACCATCACCATCACCATCATCATCATCATCATCATCATCATCATCATCATCATCATCCTCATCATCATCATCATCATCATCCCTGCGTCTCCTCGTGCTCGGACTCCCCCTCTCATCCTCCCCCTACTCCTTGCAATGATTATCCTGCTCCTCTTCCTCCTTTTCCTCCCCATGATGACCCAAGGGCTGCCGGCAAGTCCGAGTCGTTGGACTTGAGCCCTAATTAGCATCATCCGCCTTCTTTTGCTGCTGCTGCTGCTATTGTTCCTCCTCCTCCTCCTTCTTCTTCTCGTCCTGCCTCCCCATCCGTAACCCCCCGATCCCCGATCCGTTTGATCCTAGACGCCATTCTCCTCATCCTCGTGTTCCTCCTCCCCTCCTGATCCTTTCTGTTCCTCTCCTCCTGGTCCATTATCGTCTGTCATCTCGTCCTCATTCTACTGAACTCCTCCGCTTCCTTCGCCCTATCCTCATTCTGATGCTCATGCTCCTCCTCCTCCTCCTCCTCCTCTTTCTCCTCCTCCTCGATCCTCCTCCTCTTCTTCGCATACCACCCGCATCACCGTCTTCAATATGATCCACATGTTCCGAAGAAGGCTATTCCGTCTCCGACACTATCTTGCCCACATCCTTATTACTCGATTTCCGCTCCCCCTATCCCCTTCCCATTTCCCTCGTGCCCCTTACTTCCCCCCCCTCCTGCAACTTTTCTTCCTCCTGCCCTCTCCGTCCGACCAAATCAGTACACGGACTCCTCCCGCGCACCCGCGGTCCATCATGGTAGGCTCTCACCCCAGACCGACTCGTAACGGCCGCAGGGCCCGGAAAGCCCCCCCCCCCCCCCACCAATGAGGCCGACACCGAGGAAGCAGCTCCGGCGCGACTCGTCCCCGAACGTGCTCCCGCCTCTCCCTTGCTCTTCCCCTTCCTCTCCTCTGTCTCTGGCTGGCCCAACCCCTCTCTGAGAAATTAGTCCCCAGACTCAGACCTGCCCAAGAGGCGCGTCCTGACCAGATGTTCGATGAGAGTCCAGCCGCGGCGACGAGAACACCCCCGCCCAGGGGACCGAAAGCTGGCAAAGCGCCGCGAAAACCTCGACCCTTGACTCTCGATCCTGGCCCCCCCCCTCGAGTCCAATGTGCTCGAGGAAGAACTCCTGCGAGCCGGCGAACGTGTAGAAGGACAGTCGCTCGCAGAGCTCGACGACGAGGATGTACCAGCACACCGCTGGTATGCCCAGCTGCGGGGGCGCCTCTCCGAGGCTCAGACATCAAGACGGAGGTTTGTTTCGAAGATCGCGAGAAGCCAGGGCCGAGGCTGCTAGACGCTTTTGGGCTCCTGTGGAGGCTCCTCGTGTCCACGGCTGGATCTTCCTCGACAGGCCCCTGGCGAATGAGGAGGGGGAAGATGGAGAAGGGATGAGGATGAGGAGGGAGGCATCAGAACGAGGGAGGAGGGAGGAGGGCCTTTCTGCTGCCTCCCCCTGATCCTGTTTCCCCTCCGGATCTGCCAGGGGCAACGGAGACGGCAAGAAGCCTCTCCGAGCATGGCGCACACAGTCCGAGCCGTCATCTTGGAGGAGGGCCAGCTGAGACAACGGCGGCTCGCCCGCGCGGCCAAATCCAATCGACATCTGTCCCCGGACCCCTCTCGGGCTCCGCCCTGACCCCTTTTCCGAGGCGGGCCCATCCGTGGCGGCGAGGAGCCTCCGGGAGGCTCTACGTAAAAAGGACGAAAAACGCCAGGCAGGGCCGTCGTTGTCTCGACTGGCCTTTCTCCGAAGATTCCTCCCCCTCCTCCTCCTCCTCCTCCTCCTCCTCCTCCTCCTCTGTCTCCTCCTCCTCCTCCTCCTCCTCCTCCTCCTCCTCTGTCTCCTCCTCCTCCTCCTCCTCCTCCTCCTCCTCCTCTGTCTCCTCCTCCTCCTCCTCCTCCTCCTCCTCCTCCTCTGCCTCCTCCTTGCTTTCTGCGATTGGGGCCCTCACGGGGCCAAAGCCCGCGCGCCTGGGGCCGAGGTGCGCCTGACTGCACGCCCAGACACAGCCTGTGGCGCATTTTTGCGTGATTCCTCGTCGTCCCCCGGAGGCTCGCAGCCATCACCACTGGCCTCTTGGGGCTCGTCTCGCGGGGGGTCCAAGCGACCCCAGTCCCCGACTTTGCGGGACTTTCGACTGGACAAGAAACCACTTCGAGCCCAACTCGGGGCATACGATGGGGGGGGTGTCCATTCTCGATCGGGTGCGTTCGAAGAGCCCCCTGGGTGTGTATCCCCAATCGGGCGCGGCCTAGCCGATCCCTAGCAAACCATCTCGTTCCGCGACAATGCCATCGCCTTTCAAGCTTCCCTCTGGCCGCATACATACGTGTTGGGGCGAGGCCAGGGGGGACGTCACGGAAGGGGAGGGTCTGCTAGGGGTCGGTTAGGCCGCCCTGACCCAAGTCCACCCTCTCTGAACGGCCAGTTATGTTGGGGAGGGGGGGGGGCCCGGGGACTGAGGACGAGAAACCGCCCGCGATCGTCGCCAGCGGCGGACCTGTCGCTTGCGGACGGCGCCCCTCTTGTGAGGCTGCCGCAGCCCGCCACCGACTCCAAACGACGACAAAACTGTATACGGACAACCCGTATACGTATAACAAGGACGCACGATAAGGATGCAAGGGCCTTGAAAGGCCATATCGACACTTTGAGAGCGGGGCGCGACCAGCGAAAGCGGCCAAGGATGGGCCGCAGGGAAGAATGCAAGGGTAACCTTGGAAAGTCGCGCATCCTTACTGTGCGGGTTGACTGTAGACATGAACCTTTGGAGGTCCGCGCGGATCTGCGCTGAACCCTCCCCCTCCCTGGCACGCGGAGCGCATCAGTGGCGGCGCCGGAGGCGCCGCCAGGGAAGTCCATCGCAGATCCAAGACATCCACGCGGAGCTCCGACACATTATGATTGTACAATGTTTTCCTCCTCGGAGCTCCTCGACCTCAGGCCCGCGAGCGCCCCAGGGTCCCAAAACCGTGTAGTGATGAAAGGCCGCGCGGTGACCTCGAAGTCCCACGAGACCTCACCGCGCGGTCCGTCACCGCACGACCTTGGGACCTCGAAGGCCACGGTCGCCCGAGACGTCCTCGGAGAAAGACCCGGGTCCCAACACCGTGCGGCGACCCCGAACCCTCACCGACGCAGCACACGGGCCCTCCTCCGAGTGTACAGTACTCACGGGTCATAACTCGGGCCTCCAGCGACCGACGATGCGGGCACACCCAGCACGCTCTCGGCGAGGCGCAGCCGCTGGAGCCTATCCCGAGGCAGGAGAAGCCCCCCAGGAGCCTACGACAACGTCCGGCAACTTGCCATCGCTCGGACGTCCATTTCCCGTGCATTTGTCGGTTTCGTGCGTGTGTTTTTTGTTGCTCGATGGTCCAGGATGGTCCTCGATGGTCCTCGCCGAGAACAAAATGCACACGTCCGAGCGATGCCAGGGCAACACTGCGCGCTCATTGGCTCACCACGCGGTGCGGTCGCCACGCCGTCGGGGGCCCCTGAGCGCCCCAGGTGGCCTCTCCGGAGGGCCTGCCAGGGGCCCGCGAGGGCGCGCCCGTCCTCGCGGCCCTCGGCGGCGGGGCATCTCATGTTTGGACGCCCGAAATGGGTACGGAAAAAAATGGTACATTGCCCAGCAACACATGTTGTCCCGAACCAACAGCGGCCGCTGTTGGGCAGGCGGCCTTCTGTCTCAAATATACACAGGCCACGGCGACACCGACAGCGAGTCCTGTTCAACATGAACAGGGACTGCTGTTAGGCATTGTGCCCATTCCTTCCGTACCACTCCAGTGTAACCTTGCCGGCTCCTGCGCATCGACGCTGGCCAACGCGAATCGACGCTGCATCGAAGCTCAACCGGCGCTATAGATCTGCGCTTCCTCACCGAGTGCCATCGGCCCCCACTGCACCTGGACACTGCGCCACCCGGGCCGCTCTCGTTGAGTGTGTGTGTGTGTGTGCGTGTGTGCGTGTGTGTGTGTGTGTTTGTGTGTGTGTTTTTGTATGTTTGTGTGTGTGTGTGTTTGTGTGTGTGTTTGTGTGTTTGTATGTGTGGTGTGTGTGTGTGTGTGAGTGCTTGTGTATATGTGTCCCACTTGTTTGCGCAGCACCCGCATCGCAGAACCTTCGGAATGGCCAATGGCGTTCCGAGCCCAGCGCACCTGATCGGGCAATCCCAACCACCATCAGGCCCGACATCTTGGATGCCTTCGAACTTGGATGATTCGGTTTCGGTCCTGCTTGGTGGTGCCGATGGCCCTGCGAGGGCTGCCAGGACCACCAGTACCCCAAATGATAACGCTCGGCTGAACCCTTTCCCTGAATTTCAACGACACAACTAAGTTCGTCACCAGCCTCATGCGCAGGAACAGCAACACGCTCCAAAGCCCCAACAGGGTCAACAGCGGGCTCAATATGTTCCGCCGCCTGTAACTTTGGATGTTCGTCTTAAGCGCACAAAGAAAGATATCAACCATCTTCAAGTCGGTGACGATGGCAGGTGGCCGCTGCGACAGAGCAACCCAGAGACGTCTACGCGAAGCCAATGCAATAACCCCCATGCAGATTACAGCGGAGAGTGTTCGAGAAATGAACATGTAAAGACCGCATGGCCATAGGAATCTGAGAGAGAGAGAGATGGAGAGAAATATCAGCCAGAGTTGACTCCAAATAGATTAGACGACTCAGATCCAGTAATCAGAGGAATCAAGCATGCTTGGAATCCGCAACTCAGCAAGCAAGCAAGCGTGCACGCAAGCGCGCAAGCAAGCAAGCAAACACGCAAGCAAGCAATCGCGCAAGCGCGCAAGCAAGCAGGCATAGGAATAGGCATCGGCGTGGGCATAGGAGTTAGGGGGAGGCATAGGCATAGGGATAGCCATAGAAATTATCGGGGGGCATAGGAATGAGGGGGGGGGGCAGCGGACGAATCAGTAGGGTTGGAGCTAGGACGCCTATAGGGCAAGCCTATTTGGAGAAAAGAGAAGAAGAGAGACAGAGAGAAACAGAGTGAGATCATATAGGCGGATAGTGGAACGGCGGAGCAAAGACACACATGACCGTCGGATATGACGAGACCGATGAGTGCTGGAGCCGCAGTGCCCGAGAAGCTACCGAATAGCAGCACGATCGAGCTAATCACGCGCTTCATCGTGCCAGCACCTATTGGCAAACTCGTACCCCATGCGTTATTCAGAACCAATGCTTTCTAGGCGGAAGATTGCGCAAAATTAGTTTCACTTCTTGCGTAAGGAGCACGCCAATCGACGCCTTGGGCATGGCGGCGCGATGCTCCGCCCAATCGGGGCGGGGCGGAGATGGGGCATCGGTCGCCCGAAGCGGCATTGGTGGCCCGATGCCCCGCCCTATCGGGGCGGGTCGGAGATGCGGTATCGATCGCCCGAAGCGGTCATGCTCTGCAGCACAGGCCAAGTGGTTGAACTCAACGAGGAGCGCGATGGCGTCCGCCCCGATGGGGCTGCGCGCCGCCGGCCGCACCAAGAACGCCGGCGATGACGAAGCGGATGGTCAGGTGCTCCGACATGAGAGCGCAACGACGGCGGCTGCGAGAGGCGCCGCAGGACGCCACGCGCGTTCCGAGAGGCGCACTCCGCTCTGCACGGAGGCAGAGGCGGGGCGATGCTCGAGACAAGAATGGGCGCGGTCATCTAGCAGCCCAGGTTTGAGTGCTAATGGCCGGAGGCTGCCTGTCTGCGAAGGGGGAGGACGAGGGAGGGAGGGGGGGAAGAGATGGATGACGAGACGGAGCGGGGGGCGGGCGCCTTGTCAGGGATCAGCGCGTCCTTCAAGGCGGCCTCGGCGAGCTCATTGCTCTTGGCGTCCTTCACCGAGCCGTACGTGGAAGGACTGTTCGTAGAAATGCTGGCCAACTCTGGCTCCTCTTGATGTGTAGCCATTTCAATTGGCGGTAGTAAGCTTCTTATGTATGAAGTGCACGCGGGCGACCTCGCGTGCTCCTTCGGCTACGGGCGGCGTTGGGGCGAAGCACCACAGCCGCAGCAGCTTGAACCAAGGCGGCGGGAACAATGAAAGTGGCGCGCCCCTCCTTTCCCATGGGGGGTGAAACCGGAAACCGAGCTGTGAATCCTCGCACGCCTTGTGAAACCGTTTTCGGAACGCGGGTGAAAAACAGAGCGTGGAACGGTCACGACATCTTGACAGGAATCCGAACACGCTGGGCAAAGAACGATGACTTCAGGGAACGTGTGCGACTATGCATCTCCAGGCCCACGCACTGGTGAAGCGCAATTCTCGAACTCATGCGCCCACACCTGCGGTCACCTGCCTAGGCTTCACAACATGTGTGAGTTCTGGCCCTGATGCAACCACTCGGGCTTGGATCGTGGCGTGCGGCGTAGACAATGACTTACTGGCGATGCTTTACGTGGTAGGCGAGCCTCGAGAGATGTGACACTACAACGCACAGCGCATCTCGCGCGCCATACACACACCTGGCGCAGTGCAGGAGTCCTCTGCGGGGTGCCAGGGTCTAGAGAGACGTACGTACAGCGGATCGCGGGTGATGGGTGTGCCTGCTGCTCTGCCTCAACATGGGCGCACGCTACTCGTCTGCGCGCCCACGCCCTTCACGATATCGTTTGTATTTCTCCCCTTCAATAAAAAACTGTCGTACAACGTCTTTGTGTGCGCAGCCACGCCTCTCCAAAAGCCGCCCTGGCACCCTGTGCGTCTTTGCACCTCGAGCGCCTGCAAGAGCACATGTGCTCATGCTTGACCTGGCATCTGCACCAGATCGCCTTTGTTTGGCACGTTCCCCCCCGAAGGTTTGACGGTTTCTCCTGCTCCAGATGGCTCCAATATGGCCCACGATGGCCTCCAAGACGACCAAGATGGCCCCCAAGCTCGCCCAAGATGGCCTCCTAGACGGCCCAAGAGGGTCAACGATGCCTCTAAGTTCGCCCGAGAAGCCTCACAGACGGCCCAAGACGGCCCAATAGTCCTCTAGGACGCCTTGAAGGCGGCTCAAAAAGCCTCCAAGAGGTCCTCCAGAAGGGCCCGAAGAGGCTCAAATCAGTGAAGTTCCTATGTTTTTGTTGAATGGGTTAGGCATGTCCTTCTTTTCTGCCTTCCGACGGCCTTCAGACAGCCCAAGAGGCCCCCCAGATCGCCCCAAGAGCGCCCGAGAGGTCTCCAAGATGGCCCCAGGACGGCCCAAGTGGCCCCCAAGACGGCCCGAGAGGCCTCCAAGACGCCAGGATGGCCTCTGAGATGGCCCTGCAGCGCCACGAGAGGGCCCCAACTCGGTTCAGAGAGGTATCCAAGACGGCTTCGGACGGCGTCAGACGGGCCAGGAACACGCCAACGCGGCCCCGAACAAGCCCTTAAAGGCTCCCAAGAGGCCCGAGGAGGCCCCGACAAGGCATCCAAGAGGCTCCCAGGAGACCTCAAGAGTGCCCCAAGAGCTTCTCCTCCTCCTCCTCCTCCTCCTCTTTCTTCTCCTCCTCCTCCTCCTCCTCGTACTCCCTGTTCCTTCTTCTCATTCTCATCTTCCACGCGTGTTCCCCGAAAGGTTTCACATCAGCCGGAGAAGCACATGGTCCGATAGCTCTAGCCCAACGTTCGGCTACACAGGCGTTTCCGAAAAAGGGGCAGGGGTCGGCGGTGATTCGCCGTAGGCGTCTTCGATCCGCCGCCTTTTGGTGGCTTGTCACAGGGATGGACGGCGTGCCAGACGTCTGGGACTCCCCCTGGGGCTTCGGCCCATCCCGGAACGACCCACAAAGACTACAACACATCGCCCCAAGACTATCCAGATGATCTCAATATCGCCTCCAAGACGTTCAAGATGGCCCAAGATGGTGGCAAGGCGCCTCCACCAAGCTGGCCAGCTATGACTCCAAAACAGCCCAAGAGGGCCCAAGAGGCTTCCAAGCGGCCCCCGCCCACATAGGCCCCAAGAGGCCCCCAAGAGGTTCTTCTCAGAAGGCCCGAAGAGGCCCAAATCATACAATCGTTTTGAATGTTTGAAAGATTTTGGCATTTGCTTCAAAGCGGCCTTCCGACGGCCCAAAAAGGCCCCACATATTGCCCCACGACAGCCCAAGAGGCCTGTAAGATGGCCCCAGGACGTTCCAAGGGGCTCCCAAAACGGCCCCCCAAAAGAGCCCAAAGACGGCCACGAGGCTTCCAAGACGCCCAAGATGGCCTTCGGGGCGACCCTGAAGCGCCCCATTGGGCCCCAAGACGGCCCAGCGAGGCTCCCACGAAGACACCCGACTGCGTCAGACGGGCCAGGAACGCAGAAGACGGCCAAAGAGGCCCCGAAGAGGCCCCCAGGAAGCCTCCAAGACGCCCCCAAAAAGTGCCCAGGATGCCCCAAGAGTGGCCCGAGAAACTCCCAAGAAGTCTCCTCTTGTTCCCCCATCATCCTTGTCCGTCCCTCTCCTCATCCTCTTGATCTTCCCCCGCGCGTTCCCCGAAACGGCTTCCACAACGGCTGGGGGAACGCACGGTCCAATAGCGTGACCAAACTTCGCCAACACGTTTGGCCATACAAGCGTATCCTAAAAGGCAGGGGGCAACGGTAATTCGCCGTGGGCGTCTTCGATCCGCGACCCCCTGTGGTTTTGCCACAGTGATGCAAGATGTGCCAGAAGGTCGGTAGTCGCTGGTCATTTCTGCGAGTTCCCAGAGTGAACGAGCGAAGGTCAGGGGCTCCATGGGGCAATGAACTGAGACCTGGCTGTTTAGGACAACGTCGGGGGCGAAACGAGGCATCCCATAGCTTCCCTTTTGATGGCACGCAATATGATAATATAGAGATGAGCCATCGGTGGATGTGGCCTTTATCCAACACTCAGGTTCGCTTGTACCTCGAAGGCTCGAAATAAACCAATAGGACAGCGCTGCCTTGGGCCAAAACAGCGCCGCTGGGATATAGCGTTCGCTCGACAATCTCCCCTTTAACTCCGTTCAAAGTCGGGAGGGGAGGGATCGAGCGCTAGACCATGGGCGGGCGATGGAAGTCCCTTTCGGGACAAGTAGCTGGTCGCCACGCACAGGATCGCTGCTGATGCGGGCTCCAGTGAGGGCGTACAGGTGGTCGTAGGTGAGCTGCCCGCGGTGGCGGTAAAATTCGCAGATATTTCTGCTCCATGCGTTGGGGGGGGGAACTCGCGGTACCGGCGGGCGGCTGGTCGGTGGACCTGTTCCAGCGATTTCTCCCGTTGCGTCCCTTGGGAGGGGGCAGCAGTCTATCCCCGGAGATGCCTGCCTCGGGGTCTGTGCAGGGCTGGAGTCCTGCAGCGTGTAGCAGGCATGCCCAGGTGGCATTGTACACATAGTTGGTGGAGTCCAGTCCGAACTCGCTGTCGAAAAGGTAACCGTCGTGGCTGACCATATTGCTGCATTGTTCGTACAAGTCCTTGGGTGCGTCCCCAGGGCCATGCAGGTGTGGGTGCAGGCTGGGGGTCGTAGCCCCACATCATCATTCATCAATCCCACCCGACCCATATCCCTATCCCTCCCTATCTCCATCCTCTTCCCCACCTTGACGTCACCACTCCTATATCATCTTCCGCCTTTTCCTGTTCTGCTCGCCTTGGTATTGTAATACTCTTCCCCGACAGACGCTACTCTCTCCCTGCAAACGGAAACACATCCTGCCAGCCCGCTGAGATACTGTCCAGTTCGTGCGCGATCTCCAGCAAAGCTGCACGCACCTACTGTCAAACAACTCGCGCATAATCAACTGAGGCGCGCATTATCCACCCCGGAAAGCACCTGCGGGAACGGGTCCAATTCAATGAGCCGGGGAGCAGTGCGGGTGATGAAGACGGTGATGCCGATCTTTGCCAGTATGCAGGCAATGGTGATGACGACGATGACGAGCATTTGTCCACTGCGCCTCCACCGCGGCCGTTAAGCGATTGGGGTGGGCGAGCTGTACTATCAACGCGGCGGCCATTTCGGCCGCCGCTACACCAGCTGGGCAATTGAGGAAGCGATCGCAGCACAAATGGGACCCTCCTCGTATACTACCGGCTACCCCTCCTCCACCTGCTTCCTCTTCTCCACCTCCTTTTCCTTGTCCTTATTATTATTCTTCCTCCTTCTTCCTCCTTTCCACCTCCTTCTTCTCCTTGTCCTCCACCTCCTCCCTCCTCCTCCTTCTGCTGCTGCTCCTCCTCCTCCCCCTCCTCTTCTGAATTCTTCTTCTTCTCCTCCTCCTCCTCCTCCTCCTGCTTCCCTCGCCCTTCGGCTGCTGCAGCTTCTCTTCCTCCAGGCTCCCCCTTCGCGTGCAAGAGGGCCAATGCAGACCACGGCCTGCCCCGCGAGGCACCCAAACCGAGAAGTCAATGTCATGCTGCATTCCACAACCGGTGTCTCTGGAGAAAAAACATAAGCATATGCCAACTCATACAGTAAGCTGGTCCCATAAGGAACGCCATATCGGGAACGGAGTCCCTTTGTGGTCCAACACCGCCTGAATGCACGAAGACTGCTAGAGAAATAACCGTGGCAGGACCTGCGGAACAGCAAGCCCCTTCGGACCACCACTGTTCCTTGTTGCAGTATCTTGACTGTTGAACTTGGAGGGCTCGGCACCTTAGGCAGCTCAGAAAGCCCAGCCGCCAGGTAAGGACCCGCAGAGGGAGAGGAGGTGGGACACCAAGCAAGCAGGAGCAAGCAGAAGGGAGAGGGGAGGACGTTGCAAGCACGCAGCACCTCTTCATCACCCCGCACGTAATCATCATCCAATCCTCGTTATCCTCGTCCTCGTCGTGCCTCTCTTGAACGCCCATGCTCCTCCTCATCTTTGTAATCATCCTTGTCACCCTCCTCACTCCCCCCCTCGCTCTTCTCGCCTTCCTCCTCCTGCTCGTGCCTCACTCTTCACTCCACCTGCCCTGCGCCCCCCCTGCTCTATATCCTCAGTCCGCCCCCTCCGCCCGCACCCTTCGCCGCCTCCGTTACTCTCTTCCATCCTCCCTCCTCTCGCACCACTCCCCCCTCCCTCCTTCCCTCCCCCTCCATTCCCCATCACATTTCCTCTTTTTCCTCCTCCTGCTCCTCCTCCTCCCCCCTCTTTCACCCGTCCTCCCTTCTCTGTTCGCATTCCGCCCTCTCGTGCAAAGAGCCAAACGAGCTATTCCGTGCCTTCAGATTGGCGGAGATGACTGGGGCGAGAACGTAAGGCTTCTCTCTGCTGATCCGGATTGTGGCGTTGAGCGGCGCGAAGCGAATCGAACTTGTTTATGGCACCTCATAGAAGGATAACTGGAACCTGTATCGGATATACTCTGGCGGTTTGAGCACTATGGGGGCAAGGGGCCTGGTAATGTCACGATTGTGCCCTGGCACCGTCTGGGAATGACTGAGGAAAGCTAGGGCCATCAGGGAGGTAGTGAGCTGTTTTGAACAACTAGGGATTGTCCAGAACATTGACGTGAATGGGTGTGAGTCTCAAGGCGGCCAGCACTATTCCTATGAATGCCACAAGGGCCTGCCAACACCGCAAAGTGCCAGAGAACACCACAAAGCGCTTACATTTGTGGGCGACCGTGGTCCGTCCTAAGGCCTTTCTCGGGCCTTCTTGGGGCGTCTTCGGGAACGAAGCGCTCCCGAACATATCTGAAGGAGAACAAACTAGACAACTAGAATGAGGCATCTCGTTTGATGTTTCTGTTGCTGCAGATTTCGGTCTTGGGATCTCTTGGAGCCTCTCTTGAGGCATCTCGTTACCTCTTTGGGCCGTGCTGGTGTCATCTAGCATCGTCTTGGGCCACTCTTGGCCGTCCCGGCGGCGTCTGGGCGTCCTCTGGAACCATCTTGGAATACTCCTGATGCCGAGCATCTCGCCCAAGGCCCCAAAAGCTTTCTCGGACCCCTGGGGCGCAAGAGGGTGCGGGAGCCGGCAGGGGAGGGAGGAATTTGGAGAATCCGTGGTCGTCGACGCGTGTGTTAGCGGCAAGGGGTGCTTGTCCTCTGGACTCTGGAGCCCTTCAGGACGCCGCGGGCTCGGCAACCAGGGCTGGAACAGGCGGAGTGCCGTCGGCGGAGCTGAGCGAGGCAAACACCCCCTGGGCTACAACGCGTCCTGAGGATCATCGGGGAAAGCGGGCTGCCCCTATGCCCGCAGACAGGGTCGCCAGTCATGTCATCGGAGCAAGGAAGTTCCGCTGAGTTACTTCGGGCAGAGAGTGCGGCCCGGCGTCGAGGGGGCCCCGGGTGCACCCCGGGGTGCCTGGGCTGCACGGAGTCTGCCATCTCAGCATCGGGGGCGAGGGCTCCCGCTCACGCCAGGCCCATGCCGAGTGGCACGTGGGCTGGCTGGCCCATCGGGCAAACGTCGTTGCGTTCACCCTCTCCCTCTTCTGGCCCTGGGGGTGGGGGTCCAGCGGACCCGACACTCCTATCGGCCGAGTGCGGGGTCGATGGTATACCGCCCTGCTTAGAATTAAAACCATTTCACTCCAAGAGAATGGGCTTCGCGCCAAGCGTTTTCTCCGACAGAAATCCAAGCCCAGATATACAAGTGTGTCTACGGAAAGAGGGAGCTCCGAGGAAACGCCCAGGGTCCAGTCCAGATTCTTGATTTCCTTAAGCGAAATCTGCAGCTCATAAAAATTAACGCTTTTCTTGAACTTTCTGACGTGTTGTGCTATTCATTCCCCTCAGCTCTCCCTCCACCCTCTCCCCGGTGCTCCCGCTCCCGCTGCCGAGTCATGATATCCCCGTTCCTCCACTCCTGCTCTCTGCCCCGCCTGTCCTTCCTCGTAGTTGCCCTCTGGTCTCCCCCGCCCAGGAGAGGACTGACTGCTATTGCACCTGGGGAGGGGGGAGGATGGTGTGGAGCTTCTGCGTTCTAACATGCATGGCCGCATGAGAGCGTAGACAGACAGACAGACAGACAGACAGAAAGAGGCAGAGCGAGCGAGAGAGAGAGAGGGGAAGAAAGAGAGAGAGAGAGAGAGAAAGTACACACAACAAGCAAACGAAGCATTTGGACATGGCAGGAGTGCTCTGTGCTACTTCCTGGGGAGAAGCACAGCACGCACAGCCAATGCGAACTCCATTGCAGTCACCTGCAACACATAATTACTTCAGAGACCGAAGCGCTAAGGCTGCCTTTCTGACTGCCTCATTGTCCCTACCCCGGGATGACAACGGGGCCAAGCAAGGCATGGATGGTCAACCTAGTTAGCCAGACTGGTACTGATGCAGTTTGGCCATTTGCGATCTGAATCATTGCAAGACGGCCTCTGGCAGAGCTTACGAACAGATCGACTGGCGCGACTGGAAATAGAATCACAGCACCAAGCAGGGGTAAATCCATGCTTGCCAACGTGGACCCCGAATCATGAGTCCTTGCACTGTGGATGTGTAACTCTGCGGTTCTACACCGTGCAGCGCAACCGATACATATATAAACATGTAAACTCGTATGTGTATGGATTGTGCAATGTGCGTGGCGCAAGCTAGGTTGAGCAGCACATGTGGTAGAAGCTGTGTGTTCTGCGCGGTAACTAAACCCTGTGGTGCAATATGGCTGATGCAAGCTCTTGAGCTGCGTAAGCTATGCGGCAACGAAGCGGCCAAGGGCGGACAGCGACGGAAAAGACGGAAAGCACGGACAACCCAGCCAGCGCAAGGGGCCACGAAGCGGCGACTGGCGGCCACCTGGCGGAAACCCCGAAAAGCCAGTCGGCTAGGAGGGCGGCAACCACGGGGCGAAACCCAGGAAAGCCCACTGTCACGTAGAAGCTGGATGGGCATCCCTCAGTGCAAGCACTGGCCGGGGCAAACTGAGAGGGGGGCAAGGACGAGGACGACGAGGTGAGGGACGCCTCGTGGGAGTGCGTGGCGGCCGAGGACCTGAGCGCGGAGCTGTGCCCAGGACGAGGGCATCCTCACGGCCCTCACCATCGCGGCGCGGCCTGCTGCACGGCCAGCCGCGGAGGCAGACGGAGCGAGATCCCAGGCTGGGCGGCGCCCAGAGCGAAGGGTCTTCGAGGCTATGCCTGGAGCGCCTGTCTCCAGGGCCGTCCTCCGAACCCCTCCCTGTCCTCCTCCTGCTCTTCCCTCGTCGTCGGCTTCAAAACACTGGCGGCCATTTAGACTGCAATCGGAAAACGCCGGCGGGCATCCTACAGCTCCGCCTGGCCCCGAGCTGGAAGCCACCCGGGGCCTTCACAGCGGGCGATGGCGGCCTCCAGCGGCCAAACCTGGCCATCTGGCGAAAGCGGCTGGGTCGTGAAGTTCGCACGCTGGAGCGACGGCAAAACAGATCGGCATATCGGCATGCCAGGCCGTCTTGGTCGAAGGGGGAGGCATAGAGGTGGGGGAGGGGGGGGGTGAACGGAGGACTAAGGAGCAGGAAGTTGCACGGCGGAAGCTTGGGCCAGTCGCAGCCTCAATTTAACGAGGAGCCCCGAGAAGCCGTTGGATCCGAGATCGAGCGGTCCGTGGCGGCCGCGCCCGGCATGGTTCCGAAGCCAAGCGGCTGGAGGGAGTCCCGGTCGGGGCTCCTGACGTTCGACAAGGACGGCGACCGGCGGGTCGACGACGGGTCCGTGTGTGTGTGGGACATCGCGCCGTTCATTTGGACGCCAGCCGTGTAGCCGGCCCTTCGGACCGCGTCGCGCAGGTCCCGCCTCAGGACGAACGGCTGGTAGACGACGTCCACCTCCTCCAGGTCCTCGGGGATGGAGGAGAAGGACGAGAAGGAGGAGGAGGAGGAGAAGGAGGAGGAGGAGGAAATGGAGAAGGGAGAGCTGGAGGAGAAGGACGACGACGACGATGACGAGTGGCCAGGCTCACGTCGACGCACACCACCCCCTCAATCGCGATCAGCGCCTTCGTCACCTCTGGGGCCCCGACAAGAACGAGTCGACAACCAGCGCTTATCGCGCTGTCTTCTGCCCTCGCCTCGCATCCTGCTGCTTCAGCTGAGGCTACCAGTGCTCCTCCTCGTCTATCTCCCCTTCCTCCTCCTCCTCCTCCTCCTCCTCCTCCTCCTCCTCCTCCTCCTCCTCCTCATCATCATCATCATCATCATCATCATCATCATCGTCATCGTCATCGTCATCGTCATCATGATCATCATCGGGCCCTCCTCATCCTCCTGCCCTCCTCCCCCGTCCGTCGTATTTAAAAACAACTCATCCCTGTCGAGTCACCACACGTGTCCGTTGGCTAGGCTGGGCGTTGCGTTTGAGACTTCCTTGCGGCTTCCGATCCTGGATTTTTTAATTTCCTGCGGCTGAACGGATGGAAGGCCAACCGTTTTCAAAGTATGGCTCTCGCCTCAGCCCTGCGCACTTTCGACTTCAGAACTTCCAACAGTTGCACGGGCCGATGCGCTTTCAAAATGGGGCTCTCGCCTGACTTCCTCGAGGAAATAATCACAGACGTGAAAATTTGAACACCAGGTGCACGGATAGATGAAGATTCCTCTGCGAACTGGAGCTTCGTTTGACTCTACGACAAGAAGCCAACAACTGCGCAACAACTACAAGGATGAAACGCGATTGCTCTTCAACCGGTGGCTATAGCTAGCTGGGAACTTCTTGGAACATGCCTCAAACACCTTGTCGCATTCCTCGAGTCGGCGGCGAAACCTGGGGGAAATCAGAAGGGCGGGCGTTCTGAAAAGGCTCGGAAGGCCTCGGGCCTTTTGAACATTCTTCGGACCACCCGCCCCCCGAACACACATGAAACACTCCTCCGAAGCCAGATGGCTCCTGAGAAGCCCCGTCGCCTTCTGAGAAGACCCGCCACCTCTCGCCCCCTCCCCCCCCCCAGAGTTCACCACCGAATTCCTGCAGGTCTTGAAAGATGGAGGGCGGTTTCCTTCACAACGGATCTCCCGCCTGAGTTGCGGTCGCACGAAGCGCTCGTCCCTCAAGGAGAGGGGGCGACTCGCGCAGTGTTGGACAGCCGTTGCACGGACTAGCAGGGGGGCTCGGGACGGGAGGGTGGTATCGTACCTTCGTGGATGCACCTTGGGTGTGCCAAGTTCTTGCGCTTTTGGCCCTCCAGGCAGGAAGGTGCCCCGATACAAGCTTGGGGCAACGGGGGTTGCATGGACCCCCCACCCCCCCTCAGACCCCCCCAGCGCGCCACCCCCCGCCCCCACGCGCACCCGAGATCGGTGGCGGAATCGCGCGGCAGCGCAATTGGAAATACTGCATATTCGGCAGTACACCCTGGGGGTGCTCTGGTCCTCGTCCTTTCCCGCCTCCTTTGGCACCATCGGGATCGGGACGCCGCAGGTCGTGGCGACGCCCCGCAGCGGACGTCTGCCAGCGCGGAGCTCGAGCCGTGGGCTCCCTTGCCCTGGATGTGCACCCTACGTGGTGCAACGGCTGAAAAAAAACTTGGACTTGCCAGCTTCAACGTTCGAGCAAACATTCCACCCACCCCCCTCTAACTCCCGGGCAACACTGAACTGGCGCAGTGACTCTAAGGACCTCACCATGCGAGTCCATGACTCGGGCGGGCGAAAGTTGATGGTAACGACATCGGCGGCGACAGCGATGGCGGTGACCATGGCCATACTGAGCATGACGACGATGATGTCGCCGTTGCGAAAGCTGGTGTTGATGACTATGATAAGCGTGTGATGAAGATGTGGGTAAGTCTGCTGCTAGTGATGATGAGGATGATGCTGATGATGTTTTGCCCGACGCAACAGTGGCAATGGCCAGCGACGACCAACGCGAGTAGCCCAAACAAGTCCGATGTCAGCCAGAGGGCGCAGTCGGGCATGCCTTAAATATGAGCACATGCGAATCCAATTCAAGTCATATGGCGCCATGGAAGCCGAACCTCCGCAACGGGTGGACGCCAAGGGATACATCAGGCAACCAGCAGCAGGAACGGATGACGGATGGGGGGGCGATCGATTGCCGATTGATCGATCAAGGCCCAAACTCGCAACTAAGCACGTCACCCGAGCAGTACCGAGGCGGCTGGTGAGGACAAGCTGCGGCGGCAGGCGGGCAACGTGCCTCGAATTTGTCCCGACCTCGCGCACGGCCGCAGTCAGCGCTGATAGTGACGAGCCGACAAGGGATGACCCAGCTTAGCCGCATCAGCTGAGCTGCACTAGAAGGTGCAAAACCGCTTTCCCAAGAGAGCAGGGCGGGCGGCGAGCGTCACGGACTGCATCGAACTGCAGCTCCACGAAAGAAGCAGCACCGAGAGCCCCAGAGAGAGCAAGCGGCTGCGGCCAAAACGCCCGAGGACCGAAGAATGAGGAACCCCAGGGCCAACGAGGGGAGGAAGGACGGCCCACGGACCGAGCAGAGACAGGAGGAGGATGACCGCGGGACCGCTGTTCGAAAAAGGAACCACTAAAACTACAGGCTATCAACCACCAGGGTTGCGGGGATACTGGACAGCAACCCGATTCGCTGGATGCCTCTGCATCAGAACATGCAAACAGCCCTCGAAGACTTGCTCGGGAAACGCCATACCGAGAGCAGTCCGAAGACGAAATTGCGAGCGCGTGTGAACAAAACTATCGACCAGGGCGCAAAACGCGACATCACGTTTGACATCGGGCGCGCGGCCGTCGACACAACACACAACAAAACAAGGATAAGCAATGCCGAGAGGAAAGGCAAGAGCAGCCCAGAACGAGAAGAGAGAGAGAGGACACGAGGACACTGGACATAGTGACGCTGGTCACCGCGGCCGTGGCGACAACCAAAAAGACATGGTTTCGGATCAGCGTGAACCCTCGCAGAGGTTCAAGCCCCACGGCAAAGGACCCGCAAGAGGGGAACCACAAAAAACATAGAAACGGAACGGCAAACTGTTCGTATCCGAACCAGAAACACCGGAAACCATACAGCACTTTCGAGCGGGAGAGGGAGCCACTTCAGCACTCGCCTAGGAACTGTTCCAATCATCACCCTAGGCTTGGCAGCGTCGCGCAGACATCTGGCCAATCTCCCCTGAGTCACCAACGCCGAATCAGGGCCAATAGTGGCTGCTAGCAGGGAGAGGTCAGCCACCACATCAGCCATATACGAAAGAAACGAGTCTGCAAACCACCCTGAGATCAATCTGGCGGGGGTCAGGTCACTCGAGGAGCACCGAATCTCCGCAAACGCTTCCATGCATTCGCCCCAGGCACTAGAGCCCATGGCCGTTCGAAACACAGGGGTTTGGGCAATGAAGGCAATCCAATGACAGAACGTGATACAATCAGCGTCGTCTAGAAAGTACATCAGTTTGCCACTGAAGCTGTAACGCGGGCCCAAATGAATAATCTGCAGGGTGCGATCTTCTAGCTGGAAGAGACGAGGAGTAGGACGGTGGAGCTGAAGCGCATAGCTGAGGACGGTCACAGCCCACACATGGTAGGCAACAGTCGTCTCTGCCAATCCCGCTTCCACTCCACGAACCTTACAAGCACGGAAGAAGTATTTATCGCATTGAATGGGGAAGCTGTGGGGATGTGCCTCAGGACCAACTGAAACTCCCAAATAGCGGCACCACCGAGCAACCTGGACACGTTCACAGCCCCGCCCCGCAGACGTCAGAAAGTTCGAAAAGTCTTGCAGGTCCACAGAGCCTGCCACTAAAACAACACATTTCCCAACGTGAAGTTCGAGACCAACCGCCATCGAGAGGAGGCAGATCTTACCAAAGGTGGGGAGCAAGTCGGTACCATGTTCCCAAACCAGAACCTTCGGTCGTCGGCGTAGCCTGCAAGTCCAAGCCTGGGGGAACCGGTCTCGAGAAGCCACCTGCAGACAGGGTCCATGGCGAGGGCAAACACGAGCATGGAGGCAAGGCACCCCTGTCGGACCCCACGACCCACGCGGAAGGACGCCAAGGAGACACCGCAGAAATGGACCTCCGCCGTATTGTCTGCATAGAAGGCTTCTGAAGAGCTTCACCGCCCAATCAGGAATGCCCATCTCCCTGAAAACAGACATGGCCCATTCCACGAACAAACTTGGAAGCGCAGCTTTGAAGTCGGTGAAAAGCTGGACCAGGTCCTCTTCTCCCTCCAGATGGGCCAAAACCCTATCGGCTTCGAAGCGGATGATATTGTCCAACATCGATCTCCCTGGACCCCCCCCCAGACTGCAGCTCATGAGCCGACTGAATACTGATTCTGGTGAGAGGGTAAGCGACGGCAGCCGTGATCAGCTTGCAACCAGTGCGTACCATGGAAAGCGGACGAGTAGAGGACGAATTACGAGGAGGAACAGCAGTCGCATCAGACGGATGACCGCCCTTCGCTAGGAAGGCCTTAGGCATGTGATGATGATGATGTTAGTAATGATGGTGATGATGATGGTGGTGCTGATGGTGATGATGGTGATGATGATCAGGAAGAGGTGTGCGATGGTGATGGTGATGATGGTGGTGATGGTGATGTTGGTGGTGACGATGATGATGATGACGACGATGCGGATGAATATGATAACGATGATAGCGATGATGATGATCATGATGCTGATGACGAAGATGATGATGCTGATGATGGTGATGATGATGACGGTCGTGTTGATGATGATGGTAAAGGTGATGCTTATGATGATGATGGCGATGATGAGGATGCTGATGCGAATGATGATGATGGTCATCATCATCATAGGACCACCACCACCATCATTTTTTTTCCGGGTGGCCAGACAACCGAGGCGACAGCGCGGCCCACGCGTGCCCGCGGCAGCTGATGTACCAAACCAGGGGGAGGAGGAGGAGGAGGAGGAGGAAGACGAGGGCGGCCGGCACAGCCCGCCGCCGCCCGCATAGCAACGCTATGCAGGCTCCCGGAGCCCCAGCGCGGCAGCCGCCCCCCGCGGCCCGCACAGGAGCTAGGCCGCGGCGCCCTGCCCGAGGCGGGCGAGGACACGCGCCCGGAGAGCAGCCAGCCGCTCGGCCGGCGGCGGCGCCGAGGACGGCCGTGCCGCGGCCGCTCGCGCCTCGCAGATGGCCCGCGTGGCCGCGTCGGCAGCGGCGGCGCGCGCAGCAGAGGCCGCGCGAGCTGCTGTGGCCTGCGCCGCGCGCCGTGCCCCCAACGCGCGCGGGCGGCCGGCGGCCGCGGCAGGCAGCAGCGCCGCGGGCGGGGGCGGCGCCCCCGCGGGCAGCTGCGGTGCCGGCGGCGCGTGCCGCGGCGGGCGCGCCAGCGCCCGCGGGCGCCGGACGGCAGCCGCGTCACGCACCGTGACGCGCCGGATGGCGCCGCCAGGCCCGACCAGCTCGCGAATGTGGTGGTTCGCGGCGTGGGTGACAGCCCCCAGGACCGCACCCTCGTGTGCCACGAGGAGCTCAGCCTCCCGGAGGAGCCGGGCGCCCGCATCACACTCCGGCGGGCACCCCGCAGCAGCCTTGGCGACGGCATCCACCAAGCGATTTGCACGCCAGTCCACCGCGGTAACGACGCCGCCGTCGGACCGCATAGCTGCGCCGATGCTGGCCGGAGTGCCGTGCGCTGGCATCCACGTCAGCCGGCCGGACGTGACCAGCTCCGACACGTCGCCGTCCAACAGCGTAGCCACGCGCGACCAGACCTGCGCAAGCAAGCGCGTGGGCTTGGCAGCGCACGCCGTGCCAGCCGCAGCGACCGTGAGGATGGACTGGCAGTCGGTGCGGATGCGGGGCGGCACCAGGGCAATGGCGAGCACAAGCGAAACGGCCCACAGCTCCGCCGCCGCCGCTGTGCGAATCCAGGGAGGAGGCACAGCGCTGCCGAAGCCCACGAGGTCCCCACGATCGGAAACGACCGCGATTCCAACTCCAGTCCGGCGGAGCTCCCATAGCGGCCCGAACTTCATGGACCCATCAGTGTACCAGATTAGGTCGTCACGGGTTGCGTCCGGCGGCGTCGTGAACCAGCGAACGGCGACCTCGTCCTGTGCCACAGGGCGCGGCAGACGAAGCGCCAGGAAACCGCGCGCGCGAAGGAGCGCGGCCCGGGCCTCCGAGAGCGTGGAGAGGAAGCCCTGGCACGCTACCGGGGGGCGCGGCCACCCATCTGGCGGCACCGTCGCCTCGCAGACGCGGCGGTGCAAGAGCGTGCCCAGCGCCGCGCCGCAAAGCTGGCAGTTCCTATCCTCGCACCATCGGCACCCCGCAACCGGGCAATGCGGACCTGGGGCCACTGGCCGCCGGTAGCTGCGGAGAGCAGCATCGACCATCATGACCATCATCATCAGACTCATCTTCATCATCACCATCACCATCATCATCATCTTCATCATGCCCATGACGATTGGGACGACAACGACGACGATGATGATGATGCTGGTGATGATGCTGATGATGATGTTGATGATACTGATGGTGGTGGTAATGATGGTGATGGTGTTGTTGATCGTAATGGTGATGCAGATGGTGATGATGCTGATGCTGATGATGATGCTGGTGATGATTATGATGATGACGGTGATGATGCTGCTGCTGATGATGATAATGATGATGATGATGATGATGACGGTGATGATGCTGCTGCTGATGATGATAATGATGATGATGATGATGATGACGATGATGATGGTGATGGTGATGATGATGATGATGATGATGACGATGATGATGGTGATGACGGTGGTGATGATGATGATGACGAGGACGGTAGAGATGAAGATGCTGGTGACGGTGATGACGCTGGTAATGATGACGCTGGCGATGATGATGATGACTATGGTTCTGGCGAGGGTGATGAGGAAGTGCGCGCATCACGATCCAAGTCTTGGCGATGATTACGAGGCTAAAGAGGGCTCCAACATGATCCATAAGAGGGCCTTAACAGGCGCTCCAACAAATTTGAACATTCTCGCTTTTTTGGCTTCCGACAGCCCAAGACGGTTCCAGAGGCCCCCCAGACCGCCCCGAGACGGCGCAAAGTTCCCATGGGAGCCACAGCACAGGCACGAGAGGCCCAAGACTAGGGGGCAAACAAACCTACCTCGCTTTTGACCACCCTCTCTTCCAAGAGATACCAAGCGATGCCAAACTACGGCATGTCCTGGTCAGGCCGCTTGACGAGGAGGCGTATGTTATGACTTGGTTTTGCCTGGAAGCGAAAGCGGGGTAGGTAACTCACGCTCTGAAAGACAGCCAAAGAGGCCCAAAGATGGTGTGGCCGACAACCGGGGCCCCAGATCGGGCCGAGTCCGGCGCGCTCCACTGCACCCCATAACACGATAGAAACCCACAGAGACCCGCTCAAAAGCGATCCCCGGGCGCCTCCCAAGGTCCACATTGGTGAACTTTGAATGCCGGCCAAAGAGACCCGCTCAAAAACGATCCCCGGGCGCCTCCCAAGGTCCACATTGGTGAACTTTTCGTGCCGGCCAGTTTCTGACGGCCCCAGGGCCCGAAACTGGCCTCCAGAAACCGAACGCGGCGCAAAAAGATCCTCCGATACCGCACCTCGATCTTCGAGCGGCGCCTCCGTGTCGTTCCCCCGCTCGGCTTTCAGGAGGGTGCGCACCCAAGGGGGGGAGGCGCCCCAGCCCCCCGAGACCGCCGCCCTCCCTGCGGGTGCGGGGGGGGGCACCCGCGCGCCTTCTCGACGCAGTCGGGGCCCGTCATGCCCTCCACGACCAGGGTCACCTCCAAGTCAGTAGGGGCGGGGGGAGCGGGAGCAGGAGCAGGAGAAGAGGAGGCTGGGAGCCGCACGCAACACACACACACACACACCAAGTTTGCGGCTCGCAGAAGGGGGTAGGGGGAGGGGGGAAGGCGTCTTAGAAGGAGGCTGCTTCTTAGAAGGCGGCGGCCTTACATCTACAGATAAGACCGCAGCCTTCTAAAAAAACATTATTCTTCTAAGAAGCCTTTCCCCTCCCCCTACCCCCCTACCCCTACCCCCTCTGCGCGCCGCCAACTGAGGCCTGCTGACTTTAGCCCAACACATCGTGCCCATGATATGTTGAGCGTCTTACGCTCGCAAAGCTGTGCCGAATATGCCCACTGTGCCGTCTGGGGTGGCGGTTGCGAACGTGCTGCCCCCGAGAGGAGAAGGGGTAGAACCAGGAGCAGGGGTATAAGCAGGAGAAGCAGCAGGAGGGGGAAGGGGAGGGTGGACGTCACCGTGAGGTGGGTCTGGAGCTCCACGCTCTGCAGCGCCAGGCTTAGGCCCATCGGGCCGAGCGACATCCCCATCCCTTCAGCCACGACCACGCTGCGCACCTGGGGAAACAAAACGGTGCCAACACCGCTACTCCTCGGACTTCTCCCAGGGTGTGGTCCCGACCAGGCCCCCGAAGCGAATCCAGCCGTGGCGACGAGGACCTCCCAGGAGGCCCGAGAGGGCGACAACTAAGGAAAAGCCGCGCTAGATGTATTGTTGTTCGATTCCGCCATTCTCTGAACACCCTGTCCGTTGCGTCCGCGACGTTCACCCTGCCCCTCCGCAGGCGGTTGCCCGCAGCGTGGCTGAGCGACAGCCCGAGGACCACAGAGCCGAAGAGCTCGAGGGAGTCCGACGTCGCCCGCCCGCCGCGGGGTACGAGAGGTGCGCGAGATCTGCTTCGTGAGGGAGGCCCCTGGGCCCCCTCGCGCTGTGGGAAAAGAACGCGGCGGCACTTGCTTGGTCACCTTCGGCCTCCGGAGGGGGCCCTTACCAGGCCTATGCCAGACGACCGGGGGACGAAAGCCCGGTCCTGGTGAAGGAGTCCAGACCTCCAGGGGTCCACGCTGTCAAAGAATCGCAACGTCGGGGGTAACTTTGCAGATGACGATCGCTGCGGGGGCAGCTGTGATCCAAGCAGCCAGCTAGGTTGAACGTGGCGTCCTGCGAAGGTGGTGGCCGAAATTCGGGCCCCAGGGCCAAGCCGAGAAGGAGAGGCGGGAGGAGAGGGAGGGAGGGAGAGATGGGGAGAGGGAGGGAGGAGGGGGAATATAGGGAGGGAAGGAGAGGAGGGAGAGGGGGAGAGGGAGGAGAGAGAGGAGAGGGATGGAGGGAGGAAGGGGGGTGGGAGAGAAAGAGGGAGGAGAGGGGGAAGGAGAGAGAGGGGGGAGAGGGAGGGAGGGGGGAGGAGAAAGACAGACAGACGTACAGACAGACAGACAGAAACGAACTGCCGTCCAGTCGCGGTGGACCAGGGCCCTCTTGCGGCACTCGAAGAGCAGCGCCCGAGAAGGCCGAGCACAAAAACGGCACCGAATGGCGCACTGGAACCAGCCGCAGGAGGAGATGGGGGAGGGGAGGGAGCATTACGCGGTTTCCAAACATACTTTTGCACGAGCCCCGTTTTCGCCTGAAGGAGCCGCCTCCGTCCTTATCGCACACCTGCACACTCCTTGGCCGTAGTCTCGGCTCAGAGGCAGGGCGGGGCGAGGCCCCGCACGTTGAGCCTTGGGATCTTCCAGCCCAGACCGAGCCCGAGGGCTTGAGCATCACCGCCACGGCGCCTGCGATCGGGCGGCTCGGGTGGGCGCTGATCGGGGCGCTGGCACTCACAGAGTGGACCGGCCTTCCCAGAGCTGCTGGCGGGGCGCAGAGGGCCCGCGCCCGAGGAGCCCATCGAGCGGCTTGCTGACGCAAGCGAGGAGCCCTGGAGGGGGGTGCCAGCCGGCTTCATGGCGCCGTGGGCGCGGTGGAACAGAGTGTACGTGCAGGCCCGTGGGCGGAACACGGGGGTGGTCATGCTTCTGGTATCGAGAGTGGGTGCTGCCAACAGCCTCGTGTGGACGTCCGTGGGTCCCGCGCAGCGGGTCGTGATCATCAACCTGCGGGACAAGGCCCACATGCACGCCCTGCACAAGCGAGGTGTGACGTGGACCGAGCATCCTGGCCTCTCCGAGAGGCAGCGGGAGCAGGCGGTGATCGCGGCCGAGAGGCTAATTGTGAGGCACGAGCTGGGCCAGGCCGAAGCCACGTCGGTGAAGGCCGACCAGAAGAGCGGGAGAAGAAGGCCAGCAGCCGCACGAAGGTGGCGACGTGGACGGGCAAGGGCGTCATCTCGGCGATCTTCGCTGTCTGGAATCACCGCACCTGGGGGAGCTACGCTGCAGTAGGGCTCGTGTGCTGGAGGATCCAGCGTTTCTTCCAACTGGGGCCTGTTGTTACGTACCACGCCAATATGGCGACTCTCCAGGCGGTAGAAGATATCGAGACTTTCCGCGAGTTCGCCTTCGAGCTGTTCGGCAGTGGGGACCTGGAGCTGCTCGCGGGCTACGCGGGCGGGGTGATCCTCCTCCTCCTCCTCCTCCTCCTCCTCCTCCTCCTCCTCCTCCTCTATGCCCTGTGGTCGTACCTAGGCGGTGAGAGGTCGGGGGACACCGGCAGCGAAAGTGGCAGCGAGTCTGAGGGTGGCAGTGTCTGCGGTGGTGCCGACATCAGCGACAGCGATGAGGAGACGGACACCGAGGCCCTGTTCGCCAAGTAGGCTCGTGCTCGGTCGGACCTGGCGACCGCCGTCGGAGAGCTGAAGTCGAAGATCGATGCAGGCGAGGGGGCTGCGGGTGCTGCAGGCGGCGGGGGTGGCGTCTCGGGCCCTGGGCCTGGGCCCCTCTATGCGGCCGCCGGCGGAGCCCCCTGGGCCGAGGCCCGGCCAGCCGACGGTGGCGGTCGCCTACGAGCTCGAGCGCAGCATCCTGGGAGAAGGTTGGGGACATCGCGGAGCTCGAGGACCCACTGAAGAACCAGATCGTGCAGCTGAAGGAGGAGGCCGTGAACTCGAAGGATAGCCTGCTGACGACACTCCAGAGGTACCGTACCATTGCTGGGGCACCCGTGGGGGGGCGTCAGGACGAGGGTGGCGCCGACGGTGCTGGCGAACCTCTACAAGGGCGGGCGCAGCGCCCGCGTCGAGACGCGGGAGTGGCTGCGCAGCAAGGAGCTGCAGACGGCGGGGGTCCCGCAGGAGATTCATATATGTTGGCCATGGTGCTGGGCCGCATGATGAGCCAGGGGCAGTACGACGAGCTGATCAACTTCCAGGTTGTTGAGCTGACCTGCCTGAGGCTCTACTCGACCTGTACGAGCGAGTGCAGTGCAAGGCCGACTGGCAGCGGCCCAAGAGCCAGCACGGCGGGAAGTGAGATACGAAGGTCGACTGGACGATGGCGGAGGAATACCTGCGGCTGGACGGCGATCCGCCCAGCGAGAACCGCAAGGCCGACGACGAAGTGATGGAGAAGCTTAAGAGGCGGGCGATCCTGAGCAAGCACCTGGGAGAGGTGAGTACGGGGGTGTGCTCTGGCCAATGCTTGGGAAGTCACGCCCCTCTACCACGGCCGCGTCGGCGAGCCGTTTTCGTGCCGAGCTTCCTGCTGGACACTTCGGGCGGGTGGTGGTGCTACATTGGGTTGGTGAGTATCCTAGCGATTGCCGGTGGGGTCTTTCACGGAGTCGCCACAGAGCGGGGGCCTTTGGTGTACTTGAGGCCCTTCGCTCCATTTTGGCGAGCAAGCCTTCCCGTACGTCGCGGCGCAGGTCGCCGGGTGATTCCTGATGACTACTCGGGAGAACGAGCTGAGGGAGCGAGATCCCCTGAGGAGTTTACCCTGCCTCCCTTTTCCACTGTCGACGAAGCGTTCGAGTTCGGGTCTGTCGGAGACGGAGTTGCGACTGACGTGGAGGCGAACTTCGAGAACGATAACGGCGATTCGGCGCATGGCGACTGGCTGTTCGAATGGCTGGATCCGACCGTCGGGTCTGGGGCGGACGGACGCGAGCCAGGACGACTGGGCGAAGAATACGCCGCTGCAGAAACGACTGGTGACGACCGCTTGGGACCTCCAGGCGGCCAGGGCATGGTGGGGAACCGTCAACGACGGCAGGGCGGCTTGGCGGGTGGGAGTCCTACGGACTATTTCATCAAGAAAACTACGACGACGAAGACCGCTTCACCGAGTACGCCGGCGGCGTTGCGAAAGGGGGACCTGTGACCTCTGACGGTGGAGCAGGTGTCGCTACCGGCACCGGGGACGAGGAGCCTGAAGGTCCACGAGATCTCAAGCCTGGCGGGCAGGTACCTAACGGAGGCCAGCCAGCTTATGATCAAGGGCGCGGGGGAGGATGACTGACTGGGGCCAGTACGAGAGGACGAAGAGCTACTCGGACCCCGCTCTGAAGAGCAAGAAGGAGCGCCTGGGACTTGCCCTGCGCATGGCCCAGGCAGGTATGGTCACTGATGTGAAGAACGTGCGAGAACGTGTAGGGCTGTTCACGGTGGCCAAGGACTTCGACTCGAAGACTGGCTGTGTCGTGAAGTCTCGTTTGATCTGGAACTGTCGGAAGGTCAACCTGTTCTTCGTGGATCCTCCGTGGGTCCCGCTCGGGAGTCCCGCGGGTTTGGCATTACTGGAGATGGACGAGGCGGTCTCACGTGGGCGACGGCTCTTCTCCTTCCAAGGCGACGTGCCGGACTGGTTCTATCGGCTGCACTGGGGCTCGGAGCTGGCGGAGTTCTTCGTGGAGGGTGTTTCGCCGCAGGAGCTGTACCGTTTCGGCCTGGAGCAGGGGGTGGAGCTGAAGGCGCCGCTGAATGAGGATGTCGGGATTGGCGCGGAGAGCTTGGTGATGGGGTCAGCTTGGGCTGTCTTTCTGGCCCACAGCTGTCTGGATTCGTGCTTCGAATACCTACAAGCCCCAAGCCTGACCTACGGCAAGCCGACGCCTTCCTTCGGCCTCAACGACCAGGAGTCGATCCGCTGCCTGCTGATGTTGTATATTGCCGACTACATCGGGTTCACGCTGGCGGGGGAGGACGGGGAGACAACGATTCTGGACGACAAGGAGATGGTCAAGAAGCTGCTGAACGACAGGGGCCTGGCCATCCACAAGGAGGTCTGGGGCGAAGGCATGGAGGCTGGGCTGGGCCTCTGTATCGGAGCTGGCCGCCCCTACACTCTCAGAGTACAGCCCTCCAAGTTGAAACAGGTGGTCCTGGCGACGGAGGCGGCCGTCTTGGAGGAGTATCTTCGGCCCTCAGCGGTGGCATCGCTGGTGGGACACTGGACGTGGACCATAACGGTTTTTCAGCCGTCGTTTGCGATCCTGGACGCGACCTACAGGTGGCTGAGGGAGTTCCACGAGCAGGAGGACGGCGTCCCGTTGCGGCTGCCCGAGGTGGTGAGGAGCGAGCTGAGTGCGGTGGTGGCGCTCTCTATCTACATGGAGTCGAACCTGGAGATGGAGTGGTGGCAGAGGGTCTACATGACGGACGCGTCCAACGAGGGATGTGGAGCGCTGGCGTGCGACTGTCGGGCGGAGGATGCGCGTCAGGAGGCGGCTCGGGGAGATGGAGGTTGCTGGGGTCCGTTAGCGGAGATGGCCTACACGGAGATCGAGCAGGACCTGGAGGCGACGGGCGAGGAGCAGGAGCTGCGAGGATCGCCCGCTTCGGGTCGTCCTGGAGTGATGGAGCTGCTTGCTGGGAGCTCTCGGCTGCTGGAGGCGGTCAAGGAGCTGACGCAGTCCTGGGGGAAGGCCTGGGACGTGGAGTTGGGCTCGGAGTTCGACGTGCTGGTAATCGAAAACCTGCAGATGCTGCTGCGGAGGCTGCGGACGGGCTGGTACTGATGGGCGCACCTGGCCCCGCCCTGGGCCACGTTCTCGCGGGCACTGTGGCCGCCCCTCAGGTCGATCGACCACCGCTGGGGGCTGCCGGATCGGAGCAAGCAAGACCAGGACAAGATCGACGAGGGCAACGCGCTGGCGCTGAAAGGCGTGGAGGTCGCCAAGATCTGCATGCGCCTGGGCACCGGGTTCATCTTGGAGAACCCCAATGGGAGCATGATCGGGGACTTCCCGCCGATGGAGGCCGTCGTGAAGATGGAGGGTATATACCGCGAGGAGGTGGACTACTGCATGTACGGCGAAGAGTGGAAGAAGCCGACGACCTTGACGAACGTGCGGAAGCTGAGGAAACTGGATCTGAAGCGTGGAGGTACTTTCAGGCGCTGCAGCCGCACTGGGCGACCTCATCGCGAGTTGCGGGGACGGTCTCCTGATGGACTGAGGTGGACGCAGCTGGCCTGCGCATACCCGCGGGAGTTGTGCAGGGCTTACGGCGCCATCTTGCAGGAGCTCGAGCCGCACTGGGAATCGATACCAGCGGGGGCCAGAGTGAAGCTGCGGGGGGATCGCGGACAAAGGGGGCGAGCGACGGGGCCCGCCATGCCGTTGCTAGGGCACTGGTTGGAGATGAAGCGGCACGTCCTCTTCCAGGGGACGCGGCCGGACGTGGAACACAACAACGTCCCGGAGCTGCGCACGGTGGTGGCGGTACTCAGACACCTCAGCCGCACGTCGCAAAGCTGGGGCCATCGCGTGCTTTTCTTCACGGACTTTCCGGTGAGCCTGGGCGTGCTGAGGAAGGGCCGATCCTCGGCCAAGGACCTGCTGCACCTCGCGCGCATCGGTGGGATCATCCAGGTGGTGCAGGATCTGCGGCTACTTCCGCTGGGTGCCGAGCGAGCTGAATCTGGCCGACGGCCCGTCGAGGGGACAGGCGATTGGCACAGCGGACGACACCGTCGCTGGGCACGTAGGGCGCGGGGTACCTATATATATATATACACATATATATATATATATATTTATATATATACTTCAGCGACTTCAAGAACGCGCACGACTGGGACAACCTGGGTCATCACATATGTGATGATGTGGGGTTGGTTTGGGCAGTGTGGCGCGATGCCTCGCAACACAAGGAGCCTTCGGTCAAGCCGCCGCCGCTGATCAAGCGGGGGCCCTTGGCGTGGGAGGAGGCCAAGCGTGACGAGCTGGAGCACAATGTGAGGCTCGTGGTGCACGCCGTGGACGCTGCCACGAACAAGATATACGAGAAGGAGGTGCGAGGTTTCCTGGTCGACGTGAAGAGGCACGGCCTGCCGTTCGCGACGTACGAGCAGAGGGACCTCGCCTTGGCTGGGTATATCTCGGACGTGTGCTACGTCGTGCAACTGCCGTTCGGGAGAGCCTCTGCCCTGTTCAACAGGTTCATGCACGTCTTCGAGGACCACCGCAACAGGTTTCCAGTAGCGGCAAGAGCGTTGAAGTCCTGGTCGAGGATGGGCTTCCAGAAGGAGGGGCCCCCGTGCCGTTCGAGGCTGTAGGGATCGTTCTCTACGACCTGTTCCTCAACGGGCAGCTGGCTGCACGAGGGCTCAGCTGTGCTGCTACAACTGGACGGGTGGTTGCGAGAGCAGGACTGGGGTCTCCTCAGGATGTCAGACGTTGCTGCGGGTCCCGACGGAGAGGTTGGCCTCGCCCTGGGCAGGAGAGAGCGCGGGGAGAAGGTCAAGACGGGCGCCAACCAAGGGGCCGTGATCTCGTGGGGCGTGACCAAGGCAATGCTCAAGCCCCTCGGTCAGGGGGTGCAGCCACCCGACCTCCTGTTTCCGATCTCCCAAGACACGCACCGCGGGGCCTGGCGCCAGGCTTTCGACAGGACAGGGCTGCCGGACTTCGGATCTCCCCACTCACTGAGGCATGCTGGGGCGGCGGCCTACATAGCGGCGGGGGGGTCCCTGGAGACAGCTCGCCGGAAGGGACGCTGGCAGACAACGTCGGCCCTGCAACGATATGCGAAGGTGCATGTTTTGATTGAGCAGCGCAGCCGCTTGACAGCAGGACAGCTCGAGTGTGGCCAGATTCCTCACGGCACGAGCAGGACAGCACGGCAGAGGCCTGCGGAGCAGATGCGACAGGCCATCCAGCAATCGCCTGTGGCAGACACGGCTCTGGCACGCGAGCTGCTCTGCACGCTGGAGACTGCAATGAACGAAGTCGTCGAGCTGCCTCACATCGGCAGCATGGCCGACAGCGGTGGAGAGCCCTCCAGCAGGCCGTCCACAGCAGGACGGGTCAAGGGCAGACACCGCTGACAGGCCAGCAGTTCGACGTCTCTTTTATATACTCTCTTCCCTGTCTTTTTTGGCGTGTAGGCAACTGTTGAGCTGCGGACCCAACCGTGAGGGGGGGGGTATGATCGTCACCCCCAGACATCAAACCCGCGGGGACAATAAAGTTCGGGGTCCAAGACAGATAATAAACGTTTTCCCAGAGATCATCGCTCTATCCCGCCTGCCTCCCAGCAACACAGACGCAACATGATCCAAATCGATTTGGAACATGTTGGTGTTTCAGGCACGTTCCGAGTTAATGTATGCCCTAGCCTGGCTCCTAGGTTGTGGGGCTCAAGTGTAAATTCGCCTTGTTCAACACACTTTTGCACGAGCCCCGTTTTCGCCTAAAGGACCCGCCTCCATCCTTATGGCACACCTACATCTTCCTTGGCCATAGTTTCGGCTCCCGCCCTGCCCGCCCTGAAGCTGGACATAGTCCTTGGGGTCTCAGCGCGTGTTTACTATTTTTTTCAAGGCCCTCCCGACGAGTTGAGGCTCGGTCACGCACCATTATATTCGTGGGGAGGGTCCCTCGATCGAGGGTATCACGCTGTCTGAATATCTGTCGGAGGGTGCCCCCTCCTCTCGGGCCGCTCGCTGGTCCGTGTCCGCCTTCGGCTGCTGTGTCGGATGTTCACGCTTGTGTGGTCACTCTTGTACAGTTTCAGGGTTGTCACTCTACCCCGCCTGCCCCCCCCCCAGTAACACAGACACAACATTATCCAAATCGATCTGGAACATGTTGGAGCTTCAGGCACGCTCCGAGTTAATGTATGTACTAGCCTGGTTGCTAGGTTGTGGGGCTCAAGTGTAAAGGAATCTTAAGAGGCGCGTGGCCCTGACATCCGCTGATGTGAATGCATTCTTCAGCCCGCCGCGTCACCAGAAGTCCGGGGACCTTTCATGGGGCTAGTCTTCCGCCCCAGGTTTCAGTCTGCGGCGCCAGAAGTCCCGGGCCCTTTCCCGCGGCCAGGTTTCTGCCCCAGGTCATGTGTTGATGGCCCCACGGGGCCCAAAAAGAACGGCCGCCAGGCGGCCGAAGCCGAGGAAAACCCGCCGGGACTGGAAAGTCATGCCGTCGGAGAGCTGCAGGAATCGGCGGCGAGACCAGGGGGAAGTGAGAGGGGGCAGACCTTCTGAGAAGGCGGCAGGGCTTCTCAGACGCCCTCGCGCCTGCTGAGCTGTTTGTGCCTTTGGAGAGGGCTTAGAAAGCTTCTCAGAAGGCAGGAGGCCTTCTGAGCCTTCTGAGAAGGCCCGCCCCCTCTGCCTTCCCTCCTGGGCTCGCCGCCGAAGGAGGCGCCAGAAGGGGGGGGCGCGACGCCTCCGAGCGCTCCAGAACGGCCCCGTACGGCTCCAGGCAACAGCACAGTGGCCCCGTGCGGTTGCTCACGGCGGCCCCTGGTGGCTCGGGCCCAGAGGCGGGCAGTCGCCCGCCGAAAACCCCCGGGTGGTCCCTTGGGTCGCCCAAGGGTCCGCTGCTCGCGACCGCGCCGAAGGGCGGTGATCCCTTCGCCCTCGCGTCGCCCCCTCCCCGGCGATGGACGGCCCCCCCCGTGGAACGCGGGCGGGCGAGGACAGCTCTAAACGGGGATGCACCAGGGGCCTCTGAGAGCCAGCGGGTCTGCAGAGCCTGTTGGGCGCCACGGCCATCTCCGGGCGACGCGGAACGCTCTGGATGGCGCTCCGGAGTGCCCCAGAGTGGTCCTGCGGGCCCGCCTGGCTCTGGCACGCGCCGCGGGGGGCGAGGCGCGACCCTCTTCGCGCCCCCGCGGGTGGCACGGAGAGTCCCGCCGGCGTGAGGGGCGGGGGGGGATGGAAGGGTGGGAGAGCAGGTCAAGATACCAGGACGCGGTGGGGCCAGCTTGGAGCCATCTGGTGCAAATCCCGAACCCCCCTTCGAGTCGATCTGGAGGCCACCTCTGGCCCGCCAGCAGCTGTCCTCGACCATCCTGGACCGCAGTGGAGCATCGTGGAGCCGGATTGAAAGCCCTCTTGGGAGCATCTTGGAGCCTCGGGCATTCGTGAGCCATCGGCAGGCTTTGGACCCCCTTGGAGCTTGTTGGGGCGATCCCTGCCTCCCCCGTGGCGGAGCGGCGCAAGCCTCCTGGATAGGTCATCACAAGCAGCATGGACGAGTAGACGAATAGCAGGCTGACCACTTGGAAAAACAGCCCCGCGTCCCACTGGCGCTTGGCGGGCAGCCTAGGGGGCCGGCCGCGGTGGCCACCAGCTGGTCCTTCTTTCCTGCCCTCGTCTTGTTTCTCTTTCTCTCTCCTCCTCCTCCTCCTGCTCCTGCGCCTACTCCTCTTCTTATTCGCCTTTCTCCTCCTCAATCGTCCTCCTCCCCCTCTGTGTGCATCCTATATGTTATGTCCCCTCGTCCCCCTGCTCTATGATGACTCTGTTGTATGTGTGTGCTTCTAGGAAAAATCTGCAGATCCGCGAGCTCGTGGACGACCCGCGCGGACGATGCGCGTATGATGGCCAAGGTTTCGAGTGGCGAGCAGTGAGTGGTCATCAACACTGCCCGACCCGTGGACATCCTACCACCGGGGGGGGGGGACTGCACTGCTGTGCGGCCGTGGGCTGCGTTCCACCCAAGCACCCTCCCTCCGCGCCCCTCCCTCCTGTCCTCTTTGCACTGCGATCTGGGTCGAATGGTTCAGAAGGCCATTCCGGGATTGCCAAAGGTGTCCCTGGCCCAAAGTGCCCCCAGCTTTTCACACAGTTTTGGAGCCCCATGGGGGCTGCTCTGGAGGGCCGCAGCGACCTCCTTGGAAATTCTGGGGGCACCTTGGGCCCGGGGCACTTCGAGCAACACCCGAGCCCTCCTCCTCCTCCTCCTCCTCCCCCTCCTCCTCCTCCTCCTCCTCCTCCTCCTCCTCCTCCTCCTCCTCCTCCCCCTCCCCCTCCTCCTCCTCCTCCTCCTCCTCCTCCTCCTCCTCCTCCTCCTCCTCTTCCTCCTCCTCCCCCCCTCCCCCCCTTCAAAGATGGCCAGGCGCGCGCGACATGGGCGCGAGGCCTCTGGAGGACGAAGGCGGTCGCCTGGACGCCGAGGCTGAGGACCGCCCCGCCGAGGCAGGCCAGGGCGAGCTTCCAGCGCGTGTCGACGACCAGAGTGGGCGCCAGGAAGGCGACGCACACCTGCCCATCCAACTCCTCCACCTCAATATCATCCTCTTCCTCCTCAACCTCAATATCATCCTCCTCCTCCTCATCCTCTTCCTCCTCCTCCTCTTCCTCCTCAGCACAAGCCTTAGCCATTACCATCACCCGCATCACAACCATCACCCTCATAACCATCACCATCACAATCGCCACCACTATCACCATCACCATCAACATCACCCTCATCATAATCTCAGCATCAGCATCAGCATCATCATCATCAGCATCATCATCATCAGTATCATCATCGTTACCATCATCGTCATCATCATCATCATCATCATCATCATCATCATCATCATCATCACCATCAGTATCATCATACTCACCATCACCATCAACAGCATCATAATCATCAGCAGCATCATCACCAGCACCATCATCAGCATCATCATCAGCAGCAGCATCATCACCTTCATCACCACCATCATCATCACCATCATCATCATCATCATCATCATCATCATCATCATGATCATTTACATCATAATCCTCACCACCAGCACCATCCCCATCACCACCACCACCACCACCACAACTATCATCATCACCGTCGTCAGAATCAGCACACCATCATCAATACCAACACCAATATACCTGGCCCCATCCTCGTCGTAATACTCTCCACAACTACCATCACCATCACCATCACCATCACAGTCAACATCATCATCAGCATCATCATCATCGCAACCAATATCATCCTCATCGCCACCATCGCAATCGCCATCGCCATTAGGATCACCACAATCCACCGTAATCTGCGCCGCACGCACTATCACCATCGCCACCGTCAACACCAGCATCAGCACCATTAACATTTTCATCACCATCATCGCTACCATCATCAGCATCGTAAATAACATCATCCTCAGCATCCTCCTCCTTATCATCATCCGCATCATCATCCTCATTATCATCATCAGCATTATCATCATCATCATCATCATCATCATCATCAGCATCATCACCATCGCCAACACCACCACCACCATCAGCAGCATCATCACCATAATCACCGACGTCATCAACAAGATCGCCATCACCATCACCATCATCATCACCATCACAACAACCATCATCACCATCCGCATCATCAGTGCCATCATTGCCGTCATCATCATCATTAGCGCCAGCAGCATCAGCATTACCATCATACTCGTCATCATGCTCATCGTCGTCAACAGCATCAGCATCATCAGCATCATCAGCATCATCATCATCAGCATCATCAGCATCTTCCTCTTCATAGGTATCAGCATCATCATCAACATCATCAACCTCGTCACCATACCCCCCCGTCACCCGCCACCCCTCCCCCGCATCTCCCTCTTCCGCCTGCCCCCCGCCCTCTCCACTGTCTCTCCACCTCCTCCCCCGCCTGCCCTCCTTGCCACCTGCCCCCCTTCCTCCTCCGACTGTCGCTCCTCCTGGCGTGTCATCAAGGGCGTACCGTGACCTGATCATGCCCTGCAAGAAGACCGCCTCACCTGAAAACGGACCGTCCTGATGATGGCGGTACGCTGAGCGAGCCAGGCGACTGCTGCTCCTCATCATCAACATCCTGGCTCGAGTCCTGTTCCCAATCCTCCTGTGGTGGGCTCTCGTTTTGAATAGAGCACCGTGGTATCCACCCCCCTCCTCCCCCCCATCTTCCTGCCTCCTCCTACGCTGGTCCCTGAATGGCTGCGAACTGCGCATCTGTCGCCACGGCAGTAGGCTCCTGGGAGGTCCAGCAAGGTCGGGGGGCACTCGGATCCATTGGGGACTTCGCTGATCCCCGGGTGGCTGCGGTCTGCGCAGCCGTCGCCACGCTCGTGGGCTCCTGGAAGGTCCAGCGGAGTCGGTGGCCACGCGGGTCCAGCCGAGACCTCGCGGCTCCCTGGGAGGCTGGGAGGCTGCGAAGCGCGCAGCCGTCGCCACGTTCGCAGGCCCGGCGCGAATGAGGGTAGCAGATCTGGCGATGTGTTTTTCTTGTATGTAGCGTTCATGCCGACATTCGCCCCGCGTGGAGGCTTTGGGTGCGTCTCCAGTAATTGTGTTCCTCCCCCCCTTTCTCCCTCCCTCTCTCTCACACACTCTCTCTCTCTCTCTCTTTCTCTTTTTTTGTTTTTTTCTCTCTCTCTCTCTCTCTCCCCCTCCCTCTCTCTCTCTCTCTCGGGTAGTTGTGTTCTCTCTCCCTCTCTCTCTCTTTCTCGTCATCTCTCTCTCTCTCTCTCTCTCTCTCTCTCCCCCCTCCCTCCTCTCTCTCTCTCTCTCGCTCGCAGCTGCGGGCGATCCTCCGCAGGTCGAGGTGCCATTCGGCGTGCTGCCAGCCAGCCTACTCACCAGGCGTGGGAAGAGCATCGCTTCTCGTCGTACGAAGACTGCCCATATGCAAATACCCCACAGGACGAGGATATGAGTCCGAGACACGCACACAAACCCCTCCTCTCCTCAGCCTCCTCCTCCTCCTCCTCCTCCTACTCCTCCTCCTCCTCCTCCTCCTCCTCCCCCTCCTCCTCCTTCTCCTCCCCCTTCTCCTCGCCATTACTGCCCCTCCATCATTGTCACCCATACCACCACCATCATCATCCCCACCATCGTCTTTCTCCTCTTCCTCCCCCTGCTCCTCCTCCTCCTCCTCGTCCTCCTCCTCCTCATTGGCCTACCCCGCCTCACACGTCGCCTCCTCCTCCGCCTCCCCCTCCTCTTCCAGGGCTGGTCGAAATCGGAGCAGGCGCGAGACAGGCCACCCACCCACACACGCACACACACACACACACACGAAAAGCAGACACACACGCACGCACACACACACACACACGAACACACACACACACACTTACCCACACCCACACCCACACCCACACCCACACCCACACCCACACCCACACCCACACCCACCCACACCCACCCACACATCCACACACACACACACGCGCACACACCCACCCACCCACCTACCCACCCACCCACCCGCACACACTCACACACACACACACACACGCACACGCACACGCACACGCACACGCACACGCACACGCACACGCACACGCACACGCACACGCAAACGCGCACGCACACGCACACGCACACGCACACACATCCACACCCACACCCACACACACACACACACCCACACACACACACACCCACACCCACACCCACACCCACACCCACACGCACACGCACACGCACACACACACACACACGCACACACGCACACGCACACGCACACGCACACGCCCTTCCTCCCCCTCTCTACGCCATCACGCCATCCTCATACTCCTCTTCCGCCTCCCCCGCCGCATCCGCTCCCATCCCGTCCTCCTCTTATTTCTCCTCCCCGCCTCGCCTCCCCCCCCAAGAGGAGAGCGGGAGAGGGCGGGTGAGGGGGCGGGGGGAAAGGCGAAGATGGGGGGGAGAGAGGCGAAGACGTGGAGAATGTGGGAGGGGGGGGGTAGCGCCATGGGTAAGCGTCAGTCTTCGTCCCCGCCTCTGCGGTCCTGAGAGGTGGATGCAGTTCCAATTCTCCTGCCCGCCCGCGCGTGCGCCTGGCAGCCCACCATGTCCACACATGCGCCTCGGATCCTTCAGAAAATCGGGATCGCATCAGGGTCCAACGCTCTAGCCCCACCTGAGGAACAGGAGAGAGCGACGGGCTCTCTTACAACTCGTGCCGCCTTCTGCTTCTCATCCTGCTCCATTGGAGTCGAGCCACGGAGTGAGGAAGAGCAAGCCTGGGTACGTTTCAATATCTCCGACGGGATGGAATACAACTGCCCATCACTTCCGTCGATCACGCTGGGTTCCAAAGCAAGATCCGACACTGATACGATCCATAGCTCCTCACCCTCTGATTAGTGCCAACAGCTCCAGATCCGTGCGAGCAGGAGTGGAACGAGGGAACCTTTCGCAGACCTTGCCGCGCGTTCTGTTCGTTACAGAGTTTATACTTCTGGTGGCATTTAGTGCGCTGGGATGAGGAAGAGGGGCAGGAGAAGAAAACGGACGACCACGAACCCCCTCGAGGCCTCGTCGCTAGCCGCGGACGTCCAACGCAAGCCGTCCATGTACATCGTGGTGCCCGAGCCCGTGCCCTTTGTAGGAAGTCCCAATCGCGCAACCAGGACGACAATACCCCAATCGAGGATAGCATAATCATAATCCCGCTAAGCCAAATGCCCTTCAGACAAAGCTGGTGCATGCGCCACCGCATTCACGCAACTGGTCGACGTCAATAAACGCATGTATCCAGGAAAACACGCGTCGATTGGCAAAACCGACTGGGTGCTGCGCTGGCACACTCAAATGCCAATCTCCTTGTCTGGGCGGGCGTCCTCCCAATGTCCGATCCCGATGTGGTGTCGCAGCGGCCACGGTTCTGGTCACAGTGTGTATCAAAACCCGTCCTTTGGGCGCCTCGAGGTGGACCCATCGGCCTCCTCTCCAGGGTACGTTTGTTCTGGGGTACCCATCGTTCGGAAGGCGTGGGTAGAAAGATGGAACAGAAGGCGTTGAACGCAGATTGGATTTCCATGCGCCCCTGGACAAGGAAGGAAAAGGGAAACTCGGTCGACTGAAATGAGACCCATAAAATGCCCCAATGCAATCAACCGGCCTTCCAACCGCAAGGGGGGGGAGAGGAGGCGGAATATCGAGATAAAGAAGATTGGGGAGGAGGAGGTGGAGGAGGAGAAGGAGGAAGAAGACGAGGAGGAGAAGGAGGAGGAGGAAAAGGAGGAGGAGGAGGAGGAAGAAAGGGGGAGGGGGAAGGGGAGGGGGCGGGGGAGAACCGATCCTCAAGTGACTCCGTGTGATTGCATGGGAGACAACATAATCTTAACGAACGATTCTTGGGAAAGGGTACTTGGGAGGTACCAGCGGACAGCCCAGGAAAGGCACTTGTGAGGCACCTGCGGGCAGCTCAGGGAAGGCACTTGGGGGGTACCCGCGGGCCGCCCAGAAAAGGCACTTGAAGGTACCCGCGGGCGGTCCATGGAAGGCACTTGGGAGTCGCCCGCGGGCAACTCAGGAAAGGCACTTGGGAGGTACCCGCGGGCAGTCCATGGAAGGCACTTGGGAGGCACCTGCGGGCAGCGCAGAAAAGGTACGCAGGAGGTGCGATCGGCCGCCCCCCCGACCTTGCTCCCGCTGGACCGCCTGCACATGTCGCCCGCTGCCGCCTCCGGCGCCGGCGCCGGCGCGAGCCCCGCCTCTGGGCGGGGCGCGCGCGAGCGAGGAGCTGGGCAGGGCGAGAGAGGGGCGGCATTCTGACGAGGAGGGAAGCTGGGCACGGGCAAGGTCGCGTCGTGCTACCAGAACGTAGCTGCCCCAATTCCCAGCACGCAACACGTAGCAAAATGATACGAAACCCAACACGTAGACTGAATACGTAGGTCTGGTGCGATGCGTTCGCCGAAACGTGGGCCAGCACGCGACGAGCCAACACGCAGCGAGTTATTAAGGACGGTTTGAGCACGGTACGTGTGTTGCGTTTCAACATGGGAGTATCCAGACAGCTAAATACCAGGGGGAACGCTGGATGCAGTCAAATTGCTACCACAGAGACCGCCGAACGAGGAGTGAAACCCCTGCTTGGTCCCGAGGGCTCCTGGGCGCACGAGGAACACTGGAAAAACAACCTTGGAATGGCCAAAGGATCAGCGAACCCCTTCCGAAACCGAACTGCTCCTTATCACAGCGTCGTGACTGTAAGCGGCGATGGGGGCCTTTTCTGGCCACAGCGGGCCTGGAAAGGGCTCGATGCGTACACATCCTCGTCCCGTCGGCCAAGGAATTCGGTGTATCGGCGGTGGACCAGCCTCCTTTTAGCAAGCCTCCCTTTACTGAAAACGGCCTGGGATCGAAACCGACGGACCTGGACCCGCAAAAATGACGGCCGCGACGCCCTCCTGCGAACCGAAAGCGGCCAATTCCTTAATCGATGTGTCAGGGCAAGAGGTCTATCAACCTCCGAATGTATAGACGCCCTACCTTTTTCGAGCTGTGGCATTTTGCGGCGCCCGTGCGAAGGACGGTGTCAGTGGCTCCCTGCCGACCAGATGGCGCGGCGCGTCGGCCACCAATACAGTTTTGGACCTGACTCCAAAGAGCGGCCCGCGAAGCTGAGGCTCCCCTGGACCCAAAACGGCCTTCGTTTCAGCGCCTCGACTGTAAAATTGCAGCCCGCGTGCGCAGGGCCGCCGCTCGCGCGGCCACCACGGATAACCCTGGAGTCCACGACGCATGTCAGCATCCACGCGTCCTGCCCCTGTGGCCATGAGGAGGCAAGGAACTTCTTATACGCGCTGGGAATCCACTTGGCTCGCCCCAAGGACACTGAACCCCAAAATGTTGCCAAGCAACAGCCTTCCGCCGGCGTCCGCCGGCGGGGGCGCCCTGGTCTTATTTCCTCCGGCCCTCAGCCGAGGAAAAATAAGAACCCCCTCCAAGAGGAGGAGAAGGAGCAGGAGGAAGAGCAACTATAATCGCAGGGGTTGGAAGCTGCACGACAGAAAACATAGCGACAACGACAATAAGATGTTGAATGCGCTGTTCAACTGTCAGTTGCAATCTACAAATATGCGTCGACGCTTGGGCCAAATAGCGGCGACCCTCCTATTTGAATCGGGCTTGTGCGGGCGATTGAACAACTCAGGCGGTTGGAGACCCAAGGTAGACAGGAGCCACAACAACCCCCCAACACATTTTAGACTCAGCAGGGGTACCTCGTCGCTGTCTGACCTTACGGTCGCCCGACGCGGCGGGGCGCGGGGTCACCCCCTGTAGCCGGTAGCTTGCTCGTGCCCTGAAGAGCGGCACTGGAGGAGCTCGCGCGCGTTAGTGACTCCTCTCGTGCCGGATGTGCGCATGCTGCAAGTGGCCTCGGACCGCAGACGTGATGCATGAAATCCTGTCCTAAGCCTGAGGCAAAGCGATGGCCCCGGGGTCGCGTGGAAGGCGAAATGGAAGTGCAATGCCGCAGTGCCTTGACGTGGTCGGTGAGAGAGAAGATGATGGATGGAGATCGGCCCCGGGGAATGCGCGCACTTTTTTGGCGCGATCGCCTCGAGGCTCGCTGCGGTCACGCGCCGCGGGAACCGCTCCGTCCGCGACGGAAGGTGACCTCCACGCTGGGCGCGTCGGCCTTGGCTCTGCCAGCAGGCGAGGGCTGCTATGGCTTGCCCGCGCCAGCCGCGCAGAGAGCCGCGCTGGCGCTTGACATTCCCCCCAGCCCTGCAGGTCTTCTTCTGCCTCTTTCCCTTCTTGGGAAGGTCGGCGTCGGCCTCTGGCATGTGCTCGCTCTTGCTCTCGCCTTTGCTCTTGCCCTGATTGGGTGCGGCGTCGACGGACGAGGCGACGTCGGTCTCTGGCTGGAGCTGCGAGCGGCGCTAGCCTCGTCGCGTTCAGCCTCCTGGAAAGAGGCGGCGACGAGGTGGAATGCGCTGCGCGCGCTCACCCCGAGGCGATGGGGGGCGCGATGGCCGCGGCGTCAGCGTCGCTGGCCTTGCATGGCCGACCGGCCTGCCATTGGAAGTGGGCGCGCCGAGAGGTGCTTGGTCGCGGGCCGAGAGGGCATCGATTGCCGCAGGGCTGGAGCAGCGCCATGAGTTGGCTAGCTGCGACGCCAATCGCTCGGAGGAGCAGCCAGCTGCAGCCTTCCAAGGACAATGCAGCTCCACCGTTGGTGTAGCTCGGAGTCGCAACGTAAGGAACCGCGATAGCAGCGCGTCGGTGGCTTCGTTGCTTCGCCTCGAAAGCTCGAAGAGTTCGCGGGTAGCCTGGAGGCGCGAGTCCTCGACGAGTGGACCGAATTATGTGGCGATGTCCGCGATGAGGTAGATCACGGCATCCTCTTGATGGCCGTTGACCATGCCTCCCTCCGTCACCTCCGCGAAGCCGATGGAGCGCGTGAGCTCGCCAACGGCCCCACCGTGGTTGAGGATGACGGCAGCGCAGTGCTGGGCGCTATCCATGTCGGTGGCTAGCGCGCTCCAAGCGAGCAGGTCCTGCACCCAGAAAGCGGAAGGGATGCACGGACTCGCGCTCGGGTGACTATGAAGGCGGCGGGCGGGACATGATCGCACCGCGGCCGCCGCCGCCCTGTGGGCTGGCTTCGCCAGGCGCCACGCCGGTGAGACAGAACAAGACGGCCACGAATAACATGAGGATGCTGCTCCAGAGTGTCAAAATGGATATCCTCCTCGATAAGACCTCACCAAGATGATGGCTGCGCAGGCGCATTGGGACTTGGGCCTGCGCTGGGGCGAACGCCATGTCGAAGTGCGGGACAACCATGATGATGCCGTCAACCCCGTGAATGGCCGAGGTCGGTAAAACTAGTGCATTAGCTTTCAATGGTCCATGTGGATGGTGTGATATGTTCGCAGTCATCACTATCCTTCACAGAAGAAAGCACGGCGCTAGCCCAGGTAGGAGCCTCGCACTCATGCCCGGCGCGAAGATGCGGCCAGTGCCTGTGGGGATGCGATGGGTCGAAAAGACGTCGTGGCGCTCCTCATCGCGGTGACGCCGTTGGCTGCTGCCTTCGCAACCAGGCTGGATGTCCGAAGCGACTTGCTGGTTGGCTTGCAGAACGGCCATGAGGACAGGCTGGCTGCTCAAGGAATGGAGGGTGGTGCTGGTGCGGAGGTGAAGGTAAGTGCAAATGTGCGTCCACACCGCACTCCTCGCACTCTCCGAGGTCGCGAGCTGGGATCGTTCCCAACTCCGCTAACAACTAGAATTGCGGGGCATGAAGGCTGTGCGAGAAAAGGCATGGCGGCGATAAGATGTTGACTGCGTTGTTGAACTCTCCGTGTGTACGATATAAAGATATGCGTCGACCAAACCAAATATAGCGGCAAGATCTCCAATGTGGGTGAGGAGGGGAAAGAGGACGAGGTGGAAAGATGAGAAGGGGGAGGAAGAGGAGGAGGAAGAGGAACCAATTCACCTGCGCCTGCTGGCGCAGGCCGGAGCCGCACGCCACTGTGCCGCCGCTTCTGCCGCCATCGCTTTTCCCAGCTCTCTTTTGCTGCTGCTACTGCTTGGGCTTCATGACCTCTCCGCCCGATGACTGGCCTAGGAGGAGGAGGAAGAGGAGAACGAACGAACGAACGAACGAGCTCTAGGGGGCCGATCCGTGAGTCAACGCCTCACAAACAAAAAGTTGGCCCCTGAGTGGCCCTTGCAGGCAGCTTCATTCGGCATCCAACCTCTTCGGGCACGGCCGAGTGCTCAGGCCCCGACCCGCCCTTAGGCGCGGGCATGCACGCTCGAGGGGGCGGCGGCACGGCTAACACTCACAGACTAATGGACAACTTCGGACCCGATCAAAACTGCAGCGAACAAGAATTACCTGGACTCGGGCTTGGCTTTCGCCCGAGACTTGGGTCTTGCAGCCGTCCGTCCCTGCGCAATAAACCTGCGAGAGCCCCCTGGGGCTCCTTCCAGGGCTTGATTCTCTGAGAAACGGAACGGCTGGGGGGGCCCCGAAGAAGAAGAGACAGCATCAGCAGCAGCACTCGAAGGAGGGCGAGAGGGAGCGAGGGCCCCCCGAGCCGCGAGCTCGCGCAGGCGAGCAGACTGGGCCAGCATCGGCCGTCTCGCAACTTCTCGGGCGATAGTGGCCACGACACGGGCGTGCGCGGCCGTGGCCGCACGCCTCTCGGCTGCGCCCCCTCCCGCCCCGACCCGAGCTCCACCCGCCTCACCCATCCCACACTGCTGCACAGTGCTGCTGCCACTCACAATTCTTCCAAACTCATGGGGGCGGCCTACTCCATGATACGATCGAGCAACTTGGCCGCATCCCTCTCGAGGGCCCCGCGTGGGGCTGCTCCTACCTTCCGCTCTCCCCCCACCGCCTTCAGGTACTGCGCGAGATGATTCTCGAGCTGCTGATACTTGTGGTCCACTGCGAAAGTGAGCCTGAAACGATCTGCTTTGGACTCCTGCTTCCTGGCGGCCCTGATCCTGCACGCGCGGACTTGGTCGGCCAAATCCTGCAGAGGCTTCACTAGGACTACGTCGTTCCAATATTCCTCGAAGCACTTCTTGCAGTCCGCGGGGCACTTGCTGTCTTGACCTGCAGCCGAGATCAGGGCCGCCCACGCCTGAAGAAACGGCGGGTCCATCGACGACGCGTCGCCGTCCTCTTCCTTGAGCTTCTGCACTTTGTTTTGATACTGGGCGTCCGCTGCTTCGGCGGCCACTGCCGCGGCCGCATCCACCGGCATCAGAAACGTGTAAAAAAACACTCCGCATATGTCTCCCAGCTCGGCGGCATTCGTGAGCGATAGTTTCGTCAGAATGATGGCGAGCTGCTTCAGCACGTCGCCGCCCTTGGCCTTCGCCGCGTCCGCGTGCCTGGCCTGCTTCGCCAAACGAACGGCCTCTTCGCCTCCCTCCGCCTCCGCGGGCGGCGCCAGCATCCGCGCGGGACGCTTGTCCACGGGCATGGCCCCCCCCGACGTCGAAGCCAGGGTGGGCGCGGCTCTGGCAGAAGATCAAGATGCGAACGTAAATGAGACTGCAGAGCCTCAAAGCTGCGGCCACAATACACGCGCAGCGGGCATTGATACGACGATGGCAAACAAACTGGCTGGAGATTACGAGCAGTCATGTCACTACAATATCCACGCGCGAGCGAATCTCGAAGATGTCGACGACATATGACCCCGGAAGCGAACGTAGCCAGACACGCACAACATTGGTTAGAGACGCCAAATACACTCGATAAGACTGATATACATGCCGAGCAATAATGCGTGCATGTGCAGCGCGCCTATCGAGTAGACTAGCACCGCAGACCACGTTGCCACCATCACACATCATACATTGAAGCTGTTGCTCGATCTCAATCACACTTGAAGCTAGCATAGGTTCGGGTCCAGGAATCTGCCCAGGAGGGGGTATACATTCTGTTCGCGATTTACTCCGAAGTTCGCGCACAGCAATACGGAAGAACATTTCCCCCACCTCCTCGTCTCTAAACAACTCCATGAACCTCCCCCCAAGTGTAGCTACTAGATCAGGGCCCTCACCGAGCACCCCCAAGGCCTCTACATCTTCCTAGTACATACGCACCCAGGGATGAGCCTCAGCACTCAAGAACCCACTAGGATTGATCGAGGATTTACAGTCAACTGCAGCGCATAGTGCAGCGATAACTTGTCTGCGAAACTGCGGGCGCCGCGCAAGTTCCTGCAGGGAACGTAGGCGCCTGATCCGAGCTTCCAGCTCGGGAGAGACAAGCCTCCAGTAGGCCAGCACTTCATCATCCGAAAAAGAACGTGGATGTCGGCCGGCATGCGGATCAAAGGCTTCGCCCCGTATAGCTCGCCGAGTAAAAAAAGGCAACGTGGTTCGTCAGCCGCCGACGCTCTGCACTCGTCGGAACATATGCCTCAATGCCAGAGAGCCCAGGATTGTAAACCTTGCTCAAGAAAAAACAACGTCGTAATCGATGAGGTATCCCAGGGAGATGCCAGAAACGCCCCAGCGAATAAAACCCAGACTGCATTGCTTTACATCTCGCATTTAACTCGACGGCATACCTATGAGGCTGAGCACTAACTTGAAGGCCCAGGGACTTGATCACCTGAGAGGCAAGCCCAAGGAAGGCAAGGGCACCTTCTCGCAAAAGCCAGAGTGCCTCCGAAGATCCCCGTCCCACCATACATACCAGGGTGCCCTGCTTGCTAACGTTCTGCTTATACCCATCCAGAGAGAGAGAGAGACTTATCTAGATCAGTATTGCTACGACGACTGAGTTCGATAAGTTCTTGTAGGCCAGTAAACCTCCCTCCCACCAACGTCTTAGTAAGATCATCAGCATACTGAGTCAAAGACAGATCCTGAATCGCGCCAGATACGGGGCAGCAGACGTGCAAAAAAAAAAAAAAAAAAAAAAAAAAAAACGAGAGTGTCGATCCCGTTCATGCTGAGCAGCGCGCCAACGCTCCACTGCTGGCTCGAAAGTGTGGACAAAGGAACGAACGGCAAACCCATCTCTCATGAGTCCCCCACTGCTCGGTCGAAGAACCACCTGCTCATCGGGCCCCCGAAGTTGCACGACGGCCCAGCGGTATCGTTGTTCCCCGAAGCCCAAGGGTCCAGGCCAGAACATGCATGGGGTTGCCGCTCGTATAGAGTCCCAATCGCTAGAGCTGAACGCGTTCGCCAAGTCGTGAGCGCTGGTAATATGCGATATTCCCCCGCGCCAGAGGTGATACCCACAAATATTCTGCACGAGGTGAGCCTCCCCCCTCCTGTGGTGGGGGGCGAAACCATGGTCAGAATCTCCAAATTGGCCCAGCCCCCGCTGGTGCATCAAACTGGTCATAAACAACTTCCCGATGGGATCCAGGAGGTGAATCCATCTCGTTGTTCCACCCGGCCGTGGTAAAGGAGCCCCGTCGCTACAATGCCAACGATTAGGAGCCCATCCACAACTTCGGATACGCGCGAGACTCCCAAAAAAGAACTTCTGAAACTCAGGAAGTCGTAATCCCTCCGGCTCAGCACCGAGACCCATAGTCTTAGTCTCGGCACGCTTGAGGGGGCGTAGGACCAGCCACCACAATTCAAGAGGCGGAGCCCACGAAGGCCCAGCACGCCTTTTGCCCGCCTTATGCACGGCGCGCCTGATACCTTGAAAATCTGGACTAGCCGCCTTGCGCTCCTCATGCGTAGGGCTGGCATGCGGCAAGGCGCGCGACAATAGGAAATCCCTCCATCCCTCCCAGCTTGGAATCTGAATAGCCCCCATCCCTCCATCAGCTCCAGGTCGCGAGAAATCGGCCGCGAGCTCAGCAGCGCTAGCTACGACACCCCGCACATCATGATAGTCGCGCCGCTTCGGCCCGAAGCGGCCCCCTGGCGGCGCAAACGAGAGGCCTCCGCCAGGCGTCGATCGCGCCAGATTTCGTTGATCTCCTCCACCCTCTGCTGCTCCCGCTCCCTCGCCTCCCGCCTGAGCCTCTTCCCGTTCTCCCTCGTCAGTTCCACCAGCTGCTGCACAATGCAAGCCTCCTCCTCCTCATCCTCCGCTTCTGCTAGCCCCATTCGAAGCTCGCGCCGTCGCCGTGGGAGCTCGCGACGCTCCTCAGCGAGTGGATTGCGAACACGGGCCTCGGCCCCAAAGAAGCGCTGCCCTCCTGAATCAGCAAAACATTCAGATAGTCGAAAGCCTGATCGGCTGTAGGAAAAGCAGGGAGTCGCTCGCGCAGATCATTGTCCTGGGTGATGCGCGACTCCACAGCCTCGAGAAAGCCTCTGCGGCCTTTGCCTCTGCGCAGCGCGAGCATGAGCTTGTCGAAGCTCCACCTTGGTCTGGCTGGAGCAATATTCACCGCCTGTGGATCCAAGACGTAATCAAAAGCCATATGGAAAAATAGATGGTCTGAGACAGCTTTGCGACGAACGTACTGCAACTCTCGGCTCAGACGATGAAGAGGCCCTGCACTGCGACAGTGCTGAACCAGCGCCGCGGGGGCAACAATAATATCAATCCAGCTCGTTTCCCCGCGAGGTCCATAATACGTCGGACTGAAACCACGATAGCTGTTGGCCACCTGCAAGCCATGAAGAGAAATAGTACGCGCCAGCTCCACACCAGCATACACGCCCTTGGTGGCCAACGCGGGATCCACAACTGAGAGCTCATCGTATACCCAAGTACCGTTCACCTGCACGAGCCCCATCCCGTCATTGACGTCCGCACACACCAGCGGCGTAGTCCGCTGAGGTAACGAAGCCAGGCGGGGCGCAACCCACGATATAATCTCATCGACCGTGCGCCGATAGCGAGTCCATTCATGAGAGTACTTGGGCTTCGGAGGGAAATACAATGCCACGATAATCACATCAAATCTACCAGAGCGAGCGCGACATAGAAGTCCGCGCCCACCAAATCAATGAAGGAGTGCACTCTGTACGTACCAAATGCTCAGCCTTGATGCGGGATCCCCACATAATCGATACACCCGCATGCATGTTAGTCAACTCGCCCCCTGTCCACCCCGCCTCGATGACGACTCGATTGCCAACGTACCTCTTGCGTAATAAGGTGCCTCGAGTAGCCTTGCTGCGGGTTCCGACAAGGGCGATGCCGTCGAAATTCGTCGTCCGAGGAACAATACCCGTCAACCTGTCCAGGGAAGACGACTGCATAGGATTGAAAGAACCAACCGTGATAGGATAGCAAGCCATGGATGTGCATGCAAGCCGCAAGAAGCTGGACCACCTCAGCGACATGTGTGTGACATATGGTAGTGATAGAGCGTGAGTGGTGGGGATCGGCCAGGCCACAACCGATCTGGGCCGAGCTGGTTGAGGAGGAGGAGGAGGAGGAATAAGAGGAGGAGGAGGAGGAGGAGGAGGAGGAGGAAGAGGAGGAGGAGAAGGAGGAGGAGGAGGATCTCTCGACGACGATCCCCTCACTGCAACGCCCGCCTTACCTGGAGGCTCCGTGAGGCCTCGCCGGGCCGCAGCCTGCCCTCGCTGAGAGGCGCGGCGCGCCCTCTCAGAGGCCCCGCCCCCCAGTGCCCCGCTCCCCCCCCTTGCAGTGGCGGCGCGAACAAGGGGAAAAGGGGAGGGGGGAAGGCTTCTTAGAAGAAGGGTGCTTTTCCGAAACCTTCCCCCTCCCCCTACCCCCTTCGCGTGTGACCTTCCTTGCGCCCCGCCGACCTCCCCCACGGTGCACATCGGCTGGCAGTCCGGGCACGTGTCCCCAGTCTCGCTCGGCCACCGCTTGCCGGAGCCCTGCTCACGGCACTGCACGCTGAGGTTCGTGCGGCCGAGCCGCGCCAGCGAGCCAGGTGCGCCCGGCTTCCTCACCCAGATCTGCCCAGTGCAGTGCTCCAGGCCCGCCACGGGCATGCAGCTCTTCCAGCAGCTGATCGTGCCCGAGGGGCACGCGCCAGCCTAACCCAGTCCGACTTCCCAACACCACCACCCCCACGGGTAAGAGACAGGTGACTTCCCAAACCTCGACGACATCAACGTGCGCTCCTCTGCGTTTGGAGGGCCATCCATCTCCGACCCAGCAGAGCGGTAGTGGAAAACCGAGCCATTCAACCTGGTCGGCGAGCCGCCACCCGCCGCTGCAGCCGACGGCGTCGGAGGCCATGCGGGGGCCGTCGGTCAGCACCTGCGCCGCGAGTTCGAGACGCTTGTGCTCCCAGAGGGTGTCGAAGTCCACCTCGGTGGCACTGGCTTCGGCAGAGCCGCTGCCTGGGCTGCCGCGGACCAAGGTGTCTGGCGGCGGCAACAGCATGGCCTGGCTGGTTGGCGGCCCATGTCCCCACCCAATTCTCCGATGCCCTCTCCTCACACCCCGTTTCATCCCATCCATCCCGCTATCCTCCCTCCCATCCTCCCTCCTCCCCCCTCCCCCTCTATCACTACGCAACATGACTGCTACGCTCCCCTCTCCCCCGATGCTGTATTCATTTTGCCTGGCCGAACTCGCATACTGTTTTCCGAGCAGGATTATCCCGAGTTGTCTCCCGATGTGTTTTTCCACGTGAGAGCCTTGCCCTTTCCAGAATGCTGCTCCCGCTGCAACGCTGGCCATACTTCAGGATCGGCGATGTGCTCCCTTCGTTCCCCCCAAAGCGCTCTCGCCCTGGCGCAGGGCCACACTTCTGGATCCGACGCGTTCCTCGTCGTTGGGTCCCTTCTCCTTTCCTCTCCCCCGCCTCCCAATGGTCCGTCTGCTCCTCCCGCTCTTCCTGCTCCTTGTTTGACGTTGACGGACTTAGGGCTTATGCCTGAAAGCTTCCTGCTCCTCCTGCTCCTGCTTCTGCTTTGGTTCCTGCTCCTGCTCCTGCTCCTGCTCCTGCTCCTGCTCCTCCTCCTCCTCCTCCTCCTCCTCCTCCTCCTCCGCCTCCGCCTCCGCCTCCGCCTCCGCCTCCGCCTCCTCCTCCTCCTCCTCCTCCTCCTCCTCCTCCCCCTCCCCCTCCTCCTCCTCCTCCTCCTCCTCCTCCTCCTCCTCCTCCTCCTCCTCAGCTCGCGGGCGGTGCCGTCCAACTGCCAGCTCTGTGGGTTCAAGGACGGCTCGCTCTTCCACAGGCGCTTCCGCTGTGAGGCGCATGATGCCTGGAGGCGTGACTACTTGGAGGAGCCGCTGCGTGGAGCCGCTGATCGAGTGGAGGGCCTGGGCTATCCCTTCACCGACCTGTTCGCCAGGGGCCTCTTCCCCGACGTTTCGGAGCTGATGGACAGGCCTGTTCGGCCAGCAGCGGACCACTTCGAGAGTACGACGAGCTGGTACACTCTGGGACCGCACCTCCACGGACACCACGTCTTTGTGGACGGCTCGGGCCTCGACCAGGCCTACCCGCGCCTGCGCACCGCGGGATGGGCCGTGGTGGTCTTTGACGAGGCCTACAGGCTGGTGGCGGAGGCGTGGGGAGCGGCTCCGATCGCGGAAGCCCCCGAGCAGCTGGCCAGGGACGGTGAGGACTACGCCGTGAAGGTCCTCACGTCGCAGGTGGCAGGGGGCCGCTACAGGCTTTACATTGACTGCATGGCCACGGTGCGCTGCGCGACCAACCCAACGGCGGCGGCCGCCGCCAGTGGCCAGCGAGCGCACCTGTGGGCTGGCCAGGCAGAGCAGCTGCAAGATGTGACGGTTGTCAAGATCAAGGCCCACTTGGGCCCCAAGGCGGTCGCAGATGGCCTCGTCTCGCAATTCGAGCTGGACGGCAATGCTCGCGCCGACAGGCGAGCCAAGCAGGGCGCGGCGACGGCCAGAGCGAGCCTCGATGACATCCGCGTGGTCGAGGGCTGCCAGGCCCTGGCTCGCCAGGCGGCGCGTTTCGCTGCCGCGCACGAGGTGCAGCTGTCGCGCACCAACATGCTCGACTCCATGGGCGTGGTGGCACTGAGGCTGATCGACCTCGGGGAGTGGCCGCAGTGGCCAGATGAGTTCGAGGATGAGGCGGAGGGTGCCGACGGTGAGGCCGCGGCCAGCGCCCGTGCAGATGCGGGGAGCACGACGTCGGAGCCCGAGGTAGTGCCCGCTGGACTTCATCCCTGGCGCGTCGGCGGGCACACTTTGCTCGCGGCGCCCATTTTCGTGGATGAAAAGGCACGAGCGGCCCAGCAGACCAGCGGCTGCCTCCTCTTTTGTACAACGTGCCGTGGGTATGTTTCTGACAAACGGGGTCGAGGACTCCAGGATAAGTGTCCAGGAGGCCCGATCCCCAGTGCCAAGAATAATAATTCCGCGTTGAAGCACTTGAAGCACCCCAAAGGGAACAGGCTTCTTGCGAGCTTGCGGTCGCCCGTCGAGTCCGAGATCATTTTTTGGTCTGGGCATTTTCCCCCTGAGCCTCCTGTGGTGGCCCAAACGGGTGGCCCGACGGCTGCTGGCCCTAAGAGGCCCAGCCTCCTGGAAGTCTTGTCATCTTTCGGGCTTCGGCTGGCAGAGGCCCAGCGGTTGGGGTCCAGAGCCCTGGAGGCCAGGGCAGAGGCCCAGGCCCGTAGGGCCCGTGGTGTGTCGGGCCCCGAGGACCCCCTCAACCTCTTAAGCGTTGCCCCTGGGGCTGGGGCTGAGTCTGGGAGGCTTGGGTGGTCCCGAGGGTCGAATTCGTTAGCAGGACCCTTCTGGGTCGAGTCTAGCCTCCTCCTCCTCCTCCTCCTCCTCCTCCTCCTCCTCCTCCTCCCCCTCCTCCCCCTCCTCCTCCTCCTCCCCATCCTCCGCCGTTCCGCCCTCCGCGCGTTCAGGAGACCCGTCTGGGGCCGCCTGCCCGCCCGGCCCGCTCAGCGCGGGCTCCCACGCTGGCGCGGACGGGCGCAGCCAGGGAAGGCCCAGCCCACGGAGGCTTCCCGAGGCGGGGGCGCGGCACGGCGAAGACGTGCCCGAGCTGGCACGCCCACCTCGAGGCACCGTGGCCCCTTTCGGCTCAGGGTACAGCTTGTATGGATGCGTTCACGCCAGCCTTCTCTGCCCGACTCCGAGAGGCTGCCGCTCACGCCGCGCGATCCGATCGCGCGCCTCCGAGACCCCCCCCCCCTGCGGCCAGGAGCCGTGCGGCGGGCTTTCCGAACTCAACGCGGAAGAGGCCTGCCCTCGGGCTCCCCGGACGGCCACCGGGCGGCCGCTCCCCGGCAGAGGGGCGGAGAGCCGCGCGGAGGGGGTGTGCACGGCAAGCCCGCGGTGAGCTGGGGGCTGCGCGGGAGCCACGCTTGGCGGAGCAGAACGCCGACACGCCACCAGCACGGAGGATGGGCCTCCTCCTCCTCCTCCTCCTCCTCCTCCTCCTCCTCCTCCTCCTCATCCTCCTTCCTCCTCCTCCTCCTCCTCCTCCTCCTCCTCCTCCTCTGTTCTCCTCCTCCTCCTCCTCCTCCTCCTTCCTCCTCCTCCTCCTCCTCCTCCTCCTCCTGCCAATCTACCTCCTCATCCTTCATCTCCGCCTGCTCATCCACCACATCCTCCCCTCCAATGTACACAGCTCCCCTTTCTGACTGCGAATCACGCGACCCGTTGGCGGTCGGAGAGACATGAGCGCGATGGGAATGTATGGGTAGCATGGGTAGGATGCCAGATTTGGCGCGAGCGCACCTGGCTTGATTCCCTCTCTTTCTGCCCCTTCTTCTGGGCGATTGGGGGCCGATGCGTCCCCCCTGAGCCTATCCCCCCTCGTGTTGCCCCTGATCCTCTCTCCAGCCGAGCTCCCGCGGCTTTCACCCCGGGCCCGGGCGGCCCCGAACCACGCCCGCCAGGCGAACCTGGGGGGGGGGCGGGGGCGAACCGATACCGATACCGCCTGTCTCTGGACCTCTCCCGGGCCGCGTTCTGACCAGTTGGGCGTTGCTTCGTGGGGAGGTGATGGATGGGGGATGAAGAGGGATGTAGTTTTCGTGCCCCTGTTGGACCCTTCAGGGGCCCTTTGGGGCTCCTGAGGTGCACAACAGGTGCGCCCCCACCACTCTTTTTTTAAGCCCCCACTATTACGCAACGTCCGAATCAGGACTTCGAGGCGAATGTTGATTGTGGTGACAAGGGACTTGTCGCTCTCTCTCTCTCTCTCTCGCCCACTGGGGCTGTCTTGTGGCTCTGTTTGGTCCGTCTTTGGGCGCCATTGGGCCATCTGGTGCTTTCGGGGGCCGTCTTGCGGGCCTTGTTGGGCTGCCTGGGGGGCTTCTCTTGGGGCCGTGCAGGGCCGTCTTGGGGCTGCCTGGGACCGTCTCCGCGGCACATTTTGGACCACCCTGGAGGCATCGACATCCTTAGCTGCCCCGATACGCAACACGCAGCACGTAGCGTGTTGACACGGAGCTCAACACGTAGACTGAAAACGTAGGCCTGCCGCGATTCGTTCGCCAGGACGCGGGCCACTACGCTGAAGCAGCACGCAGCGTATCGGCACGGACCTTTTGAGCACCGTACGTGCTGCGTTTCACTACGGTCGGGTGTTGCTAGAAGTGCAGCTGGCCCAAGGTACCCCCAGGATTCTCGGGGTGGCCCAGACGGCCTCCAGGGCATCCCTCGCGAGGCCCAGAGGGCCCAACGGGCTCTAAAATGAGGCGAAAAGCTGGGGGCACCCTGGGCCAGGGGCACTTCTAGCAACACCTGATACGGGCGTACTGAGGCAGCTAAGCGTAAGTCGGGTGTGTCCCCCTACAGGGGGATTTTCGACGAACAAATATAAGATACTAGCAAACAATTCCCAAATGGCCAAACAAATACTCAAGAAATAGTCCCCAGACTATTTTTTGACTATGTTTGAATAGTCCACCTGTAGAGTGACGGGCCCGACTTAAAGCTAAGCCCTGGAGGCATCGGCATCGCTTCCTCCTGATACGGGCGTACAGTCGAGGCGTTGACCTAAGGACCCTAAATAAGGAACGAGGCCCCTTCTCCCATAAGTTAAACTTCGACTTCCCATCGAACATGTAAGGAAAACCTTAGGCAAGGTGTGGAACAGTCAAGGAACACCGAGCCCCTCCCCAGCGAAAAGGGTTCCTTCTTCAGCGCCCCGACTGTACTGAGGCAGCTAAGCCCTGGAGGCATCGGCATCGCTTCCTCCTCTGGGAGCCCGGCCCGGAGGCGCAGCGCGTGCGGCACGGGGCGCCAGGCCGCGGCGTCGCCGGGCCAGCGCAGCAGCCCCGACGCCTCGCCCGCCAGGAACACCACCCCGCCCCGCGGCGCCGCCAGCGCCCGCCGCTGGCCGTCGGGGATCTCCACCTCGGCCCCGAGGGGCGCGACCGGACGGGCGCGCGGCGGGGAGGGCGCACCGCTCTCGCAAGGGTCGGCGATCCTCGGAGCGAGTGTTCGCGCCAGCGTGCGCTTGTCCACCTGGGCCCGTCAGTACGACGCGGGGAGCGTCATGGGGGCCACCAGCAGTGGCTGCGTGCTATCTGTGGGATGTGCCTGTTCGTGTGTATGTGGGCGCTCTGGAGCTTGCTACGGGTCCAGGGCGGTCACTCCTTGTCTTCCATCTCCTCCTCCTCCTCCTCCTCCTCCTCCTCCTTGTGATCCCCCTTCCCCTTCACCCCCCCCATGCTGTTGTCCTCCTGCCTCTCCTCCTGCCCCTAATCCTCGTCGTATCATCCCTGTGACGGAACGAGTCGACAAGATCAAGGCCTTCGTTGAGACAAGGTCCTCGACAACTACATCGAAGCACCCTGTATAAAACGAGCAAGAGAAGCAGCCGCCGCGGAAATGGGAGGAGCAGGAGGATGGCAATGGACCATAATCTCAACATACAAGCAAGCGAACGACGAATGCATGCGATGAGGCCTCGCAAAGCGCCTCACACGAATGTGGGCAGCTTGCGCATCGACAATTACATTCACGGGGCAGGCTTGCAGTTAACCTTGTCATATATCGAAGGACAAACCCTTACACCTCCTCCAAAGAGGCATCTGTCCTACAGAGGGAAGTTAATTCACCCCGCTCACTTGGTTGATCTATGGTCTCGAGAGGCCCCCCAAAGGCCTGCATGATGGCCCCAAGAGGGCACCAAGAAGGCAGCAAGCGGGCCCCAAATGCATTCAAAACTGCCCCAAGCGGGCCTCAATTGGGCCCCAAGAGGCCCCCAAGCGGTCCCCAGAGCGTGTCTGCATGCCGATACACATCCTTGCTTAGGATACATCGCCTAGTGATTTTTGTTCGATGGACTGGTGAGGATGCGCAAAGCGTCAATGATTACTCGTTTCGCTCCTCCTCTTCCTCTCACTCCTCCTCCTGCTCCTCCTGCTTCTCCTCCTCCTCACCCTCTTGTCCTCCTTGTCCTCCTCCTTCTCCTTCTCCTCCTCACCCTCCTCCCCTCCTCACCTTCTCATATGGATTATTCCCCACTCCGCCCTCCTCCTCCTCCTCCTCCTCCTTGTCGTTCCTCCTCCCTCCTCTTCTTCCTAGCCGTTACTTATCACTCCTCCTCCTCCTCCTCTTCCTCCTCCTCCTCCTTCTCCTGCTCCCCAGCCTCTCTTTGGCAGCCTGTGTTAGCAACCCATGCGGTGGTCAGCTGGCCAGCTTCAGATTCCTCCTCTCATCTACCTCGCTTTCTTTCTTTCTCTCTCTCTCTATCTCTCTCTCTCTCTCTCCCTCTCTTTCTCTCTCTCTCTCTCTCTTTCTCTCTCTCTCTCTCTTCTTTTTTTTTGTTTCTCTCTCTCTCTCTTTCTCTCCGACGGCTACCTCGCACGAATGGCCGAGGCGGATGCCGCAGTCGAAGCCGACCAACAATTCAGCCTGGCCGACCAAGCCGCGCATGCGTTGACTGCGAGCTCGCTTGGGCGGTCCCACCAGCCGAGCAAGGTCAACTACAACCTACGCTTCACGGAAGGCCACCCGAGCTCATCCCGGCCGCGTGGTCGATGATCCTTGGGAGGGGCGCTGCCCCGGTGATGACGATTTGTTGCGCCCTGCGCGGTGGTGTCGCGACGGTGCCGACGAACATGGCACCAACAAAATGTGGCTCTTTTCTTCGGCCGTGTCCGCAGGACCTGGGTTGTGCCTCGCCAGCGGCTCTCCCAAAGGATTCGAAATCGACGTCTTGTTCTCCATTGGTGGAGCCGTTCGTGCAGTTGTTGGTGAAGCTGGTGGCGAGGGCGCCGCGGCAGCCGGAGAGCCTGTGATGGCGGCCGAGGTGACACCGACGATCATGTAGCCCATGATCTCCAGGACGGTGGCGTGGACCGTTTGAAGTCGGCGCGGTGAGAGCCGATGCCGTGGTTGTAGTATCGCCTGTCGTGGTCGACGGTGTGGTCGTCGTCCTTGTTTCACCAGCTGTGGTCGGCGGTGCGGTCGTCGTTGTTGTCGTAACAGCTATGGTCGAGTTGAATGGGCCGCACACAGGCGTGCAACAACGTTAGGTGCAAGTGCGGTCGCTGGATGTGGCCGTGCATCGGCAGTGCACTGTCGTGGCAAGGCCTGGCAAGCCGTCGCGGTAGCGCACGTTGGCGGCCTGGCCTGGGCGCTGGCACGCTTTCGGCGGCCGCGCTCCTGGTGCAGGCACGCGCGTGTCTTGTCGTCGTGGCGTCTCGCGCCTGCGCACTACGCTACGCCATGTGGTGAGGTTCGGCGTCGCGCAGGCGCGTCTTGTTGCTTGACGTGACGCCGCCCTGCGTGGCGCGGCCGTGTAGAGGCGTCGCGTTGCGCAAGAGAGCGCGCCGCAAACGCGTTGCACGGCATTAGCGGGGCCGCGTAGTGGCTTCCTCCCCCCTGCCTCTGCCCAACTCACCCCACATACTTCTTCGTTCCTCCCTCCTCTTCCCTCCTCCCTCTTTCTCCTCCTCCCTCCTCATTCCTCCCTCCTCGTTCCTCCCTCCTCGTTCCTCCCTCCTCGTCTCCTCGTTCCTGCTTCCCTCCTCCCTACTCGTTCCTCCTTCCTCTTTCCTCCTCCCTCGTCCCTCTACTCAGCACGCGGCAACGCCTGCGGGGCGGACGCTACTACAACTATTCCACTGTGCTCGCCACGTGGCAAACGCCTGGGATGCGAAGAATGTGCTACCCCACTCTCCTCGCGACGTGGCAACGCCTGCGGGACTGGCAAACATAGGATTCCACGCGAATTGCAAGGAGGAAGCGACTGGGAAGCGAAACGCAGCTACTTCTCCACTCCACGACTCGCCACCTGGCAACGCCTGCGAGGCGGAACACATACTTGTCACTCTACTTGGGGATGTACTCACCCGGGTCAATCCAGACCCAGGTCAATTGGGCCTTGCAAAACCCTGCAAAATCATGCAAAACCCTGCACTCAAACCCGGGTCACTGCGAAAGATCCTGTAAAATCCTGCAAGATCCGGCGCCCAAGCCCGGGTCAGTGCGACCATGGCCCTGCAAGATCCTGCAATATCGGGCGCTCCAGCTGACCCCCGTTTGCATCGACCCCCGTCTCAAGGCTCCCGATCTACTCGCCACGTGGCAGCGTCCGGGGAGCGAAACAAACACTTACTGCTCCCCCCTTCTTGCCACGTGACAGCGGTCGGAAGGGGTGAACACATGCTACTGCACTGTACTCACCACGTGGCAGCGCCTGCGGGGGCAACAGAGCGGGGCGGCAACAAATGCTGCTCCTCTCTAGTCGCCACATGGCAACGCCACGTGGCAAGGCCTGATAGGCGAACAAGAATACTATCCCAGTCCACTCGCCGCGTGGCAACGACATGGGACGCGAACAGGAAACATACATCCACTCAACTCATCACGTGGCAATGCCGGGCCGAACATATACATTCCCACTGTACACGCCACGTGGCAACGTCACGGGGACGAGCACAAATATCCCATTCTATTCGGATCGTGGCAACGCCGCGGGGCGGAAACACATAGAGCGCCACTCCATTCGCAACGTGGCCATGACAGGCCGGCCCCCCCGTTCCACCACTGTGCCGACGATTTCCTCACCCCACGGAATCCTGAGAACCGACCTCCTCCTACTCATCCTCCTGCTCCTCGGCCTCCTCCCCTCCTAGGATGCGCACCCTGAAACCCAACAAGTCTTTGTTTTTGGTGCAAACGCATTGCATTGCGTTGCGCTGCGTCCCTCTTTTTCCTTCCGCCCCCCTCCTCCCTCTACTCGCCCCCGTCTGCCGCGTCTTCCTTCCGATTCTCCCACCCCGCGCGCCCGCCCGCCCGCCGGCGCGCGCGCGCGTGCCCGCCGCCCGCCCGCACGCCCTCCCGCCCGCCCGCGCGCCCGCGCGCACGCCCGCCCGCGCGCCTGCCCGCCCGCCTTCCCGCGCGCGCACGCACCCGCTTGCGCGCGCCACGTGGCAAAGCCAAGGGAGCAAAATAGATGCTGCTCCATTTTTTCTGCCTCGTGGCAGCGCTCGGAAAGGGGGGGGGCAAAATGTCACTGCGCTGCACTCGCCGCGTGGCGGCGCCTGCAGGGCGAAACGCAACTACTCCATTATAGTCGGCACGTGGCAACGTAACGGGGCGGAGCACATGCTACTCCGCTCGGTTTGCCACAGGGCAACGCGGCGTGGCAAGGCCTTTAGAGGCAAACGAAGATACGATCCCATTCCGCTCACCACGAGGCAATGACATGGGGAGCGGGCTAGAAGCATACCTCAGCTCGGCTGATCACGTTTCAATACAGACGTGCCGAACGTTTACAAATCCCACTCTGCTGGTCACGGCGCAACGCCTGGTAGGCGAAAGTAAGTCAGATTGAGGGGGCCGAACGGTCATTCACTGTCCCTGGGTGCGTGGCTGAAGTGGGATTCGGCGGTGCGGATTCTCGTTGTTGTTGTTTGTTGTTGTTTGTTGTTGTTTGTTGTCGTCCCACCCGCAACCCGCCCCGCGACCCACCCGCGACCTACCCGCGACCCACCCCGCGACCCACCCGCGACCCACCCGCGACCCACCCGCGACCCACCCCGCGACCCACCCCGCGACCCACCCCGCGACCCACCCCGCGACCCACCCCGCGACCCACCCGCGACCCACCCGCGACCCACCCCGACCCACCCCGCGACCCACCCCGCGACCCACCCGCGACCCACCCGCGACCCACCCCGCGACCCGCCCGCGGCCCACCCCGCGACCCACCCGCGACCCACCCGCGACCCACCCGCGACCCACCCGCGACCCACCCCGCGACCCACCCGCGACCCACTTTCGACCCAAACCACGTTCAAGGTACAAACCACCATTTTCGGCGCCCGCGGCGAACTTTTTTTGCATTCCTTCCAGGTGGAGAGCCCGCGACCCACCCCGCGACCAACTCGTGACCAACC